TACATTTGCGTATAATTCGGCAGTGGGGTAAGTTTTGTTTTGCAAACATCATTTTTAGAATACTTTTTGAAAAATATCCAAATAATAATAATCGACGTCTTTTATTTGTAATATCTTACAGGAGGTGAGATTTAGATAATATATCTATTCTACCATCTAACCCCCTTAACAATACGAGATGTAAAAAAAACAGAATTTGTTGAAAATTAATACATGTATACAATAACGACAGAATAGAGTATAAAGTAAGTAAAGGCATAAGAAAAATATGAGGCCATTTATGGGTCACAACAGATTTCGCTGCTGATCAATTAGAAATTCTTTCACTTTTTTCTTGAATTTAGGTAATGGATTGGTTTCTTTTAAACTGCGATCTAAAGAATTATATGATTTGATCGCATTGTAAATATATGTATTCTGAAATAGAGATGTGTTATTAATGCCATGCATATTCCCTCTACGTATGAATTTGTTCACTAAATATGACGGTGCTTTTGAATAAAAAACCTTATGAGTCAGATTTAGGAGCTGGTACTATCAATTTTCATCCATTTGAGTTAATTAATGGCTTTCGATATATGATCATACTTTCTGAGACCATTTACAAGCCTGCAAAATGTGTTCATAATATTTTGGATACGATTTCTTGTTATAATATCTAAATAGGGATAGTAAACCACTAAGCAATACGATATCTTTGAAAACAAGAAAGATTCACACAATTGCTTTCCCGCAGATTTATGTAGTATAGCCTTATTTGTAAATAAAAGTCTGAGAATAGCGCAGCACTGAGAAATTAGATAGTATCTCTTTTGCTTAAATGCTCCAAACGGCTTTTATCATAAGATAATCTCAGTTGGCCATGACGCAGTGACAGCGCGATATCTTTAGGAGTTCTCCCGATTCCCAAAATCTAATTGCCGTCATAAAAGTTCGTCTAAAGCAACAGTACTCTACCGAACAAAAAATTTGTTCTGGTGTACCACAGGGATCAGTCTTAGGACCCCTATTATTTTCATTATATATCTCAGATTTAGAAACAGAGGAAAAATCATGCAGCGTACAATTTTTAGCAGACGATACCCAAATTTTCTATTCATTTAGGAGTAATGACTTGGAAACAGCAAATAATAAAGTTAATCAAGATCTTGCCTAAATTGAAAAGTTCAATAGTAGTCATAATCTTCGTTTGAACCCTTTGAAGACAAATATGTTGGTATACGCAAATAGAACAAAAAAGAATGCTTTAAAAAGGGACATAGACATACATTTGAAAGGTAATAAATTAGTTAATGTGTACCATTCGAAGAACCTAGGTATTATAATGGATAATGACTTGTTGTACACGTAAACTATCATTTCAATCTCGCACACTACTAGTTTTACGAAGTAAGCAACGTTATACAAATTAACCTTATTTTCAGTGCTTGATACGATGGAAAAAGAATTCGTTTGAAAAAATTTGGTTTCCTAGAATCCAATTTTCATTCTCTTCTTTGACTATTTGTTATCCAAATTCGGAAGAGAATGTACAGAAGTAGGTCTATTATTATGAGAAGCTCGTTACAAATCATATGGCAAAACATAAATACGAAAAAAATTGATGCAATTCATTGTTCTGTAACTGTTATTTTGAGATATGTCAAAAACGGTTAGGCTTAGGTGTAGGATGATACATATAACTTCTATTTAGAATTTCGCGTAGAATCCAAAAAATTAATGGTCTTTGTAAAATAAGCAAGTGCTATCATTTTGAAAATATTTTAGCCATATCTGTCATAGGAGAATTTCTTGTAAAACCGATCGCTGTAGTTCTACGTATAGCACCTTGTAGTTCGTTCAGTTTATATGATATTTTCGTTTCATGGCATCCATTCTTCTAGCCAAAACTTCATCATCTTTCGAGCATCACATCATAATTCATCGCCACAATTTACCCCAGTTTCATTTGCTAGCAAAAACGTGAGAGAATTTCCAAAAATTCCTCTGTATATTCGTTCTTGGCAAAAAATTGTTTCCCGAAAAAATCGGGTGGAAGGAATATAAATCCGGTATGAATTTGAAGCGGTGTCCCAAGAAGTACATGTTCCACGACATTTTTTAACAGTTAATTTTTTTTTGAACAATCTTAGGTCCATTCTAATAATATACCTGATGTTTTTGGTATTTATCAATTAGTGTCCGTAAATTATGAGTGTATTGTTATATCATTGCTGATAAGGTTCGTGATTTAGCGTTTCACCGTATTTTAATCGTATTCCATATGCGTATCTGCAACTTTTAATGATAAGAAAGTAAGGTATAGGGGCCTATATAGAGGTATGTTTTCTGTGCTTAGCAATAGCATAAATAGGGATCTATAAGAATACCTGGCGTGTCAAGACTCCAGTTCTTGAGCGCAATATGGTCGATGATCCAAGAGAAATACTCGCTGATGAATGATCCAGAATTCTGACAGCTGTTGACATTTGTCAAACAATTTTGTGGTCATCGGTAGTTATTTACTTTTTTACACGAATGGTAACCCTCACATTGTCTTTGCTTGAAAACAAAACGCGTTTTCGGGGATTCCCGCAAATAATGCATACGTTTAGTGAACAGCGCGCGGTAATTCCCCTACTCGCTTTAGGACCGAGTAAGGGAATTACCGAGCGGTGTTCACTTGTCTAAATTTCCTCTAACAGTGTATTGTTTCGTTTGGATACTATAGCGAGTACACGTATTGTAAGCACAGTAAAGCAAGTTAACATTTGTGTTACCATTAATTCCATTAGCCAACGTTTAATGTTTAAACAAGATGTCGTTTCACATAGACAAATCCAAGTTATACCAAAAATTGTTTGAGGGTTTTAAAAAATCTCATACAAGTACGAAAGTACAAAATGTACAAAAGTTAGTTAACGAAGTGTGGCGAAATTACAAATTACAAGCAAAATCCGACAAGGAACTAGATATTATTGTATCTAAGAGAATCGAAGAAGAATTGCAAGCGCCGAATAAGAATAAATCCAATCTACTAATTTTTTTTCTAAGGTGAGTGACGAAATCATTTTAGGTACCTATGAGTACTAGAAATATTAGAAATCGCCAAAAAGTTTCTCTTTACTGATGAGAAAATATTATGGCCTATCTCAACGTATAGGGGTAATATTCATTATACATAATTATAGATTTATTTCTTATAATTGATTCCGTCAATTGGTCAAAAAGTACAGGATGTTAGTTGTATACATATATACAGAAAACTAACACCCTGTATTTTGTGACCGGAACGAATTGCTCGTTTAAACATTTTATATTTAAAGCCATAGGGTTTTGTATTTACCATATATACTGCCATACTTTGTATTTATGTAGCTTAATAAGAGAATCTTTAGCAGAAAAACTCTTGATGAACTCACACAAGAACTACGTAAAATAGGATTTGACATTAGTCGCAGTGGGACATATCTTCGTTTGATTCCCAGAAAATCTAATTCTGCAGAGAGACGAAGACATGTATTGACAGTCCCTGTTAAGCTCATTCGGGCTGAAACTGATCACCACAAGAGCCACTTAGATAGCAAGTTCGCTGAAACATCAATACATTATTTAGAGAACATAGCATCCATACTTGGACCAGATCAAGTATCTTTCATATCTCAAGATGATAAAGCTCGAGTCCCTATTGGCGTAACTGCGGCAAATAAGCAAGCACCACTTCTAATGCACATGGAATATAGAATCAAATTGCCTGATCACGATTGGGTAATCGCTGAGCGTCATAAATTAATACCATCTGTTTATGCTGGTATCAAAATCACTTCCAGGAGAACCGCAAGCCGTTGGATATTCTGGACCAACATACATCGCTGTTCGAAGTGGAAAGCATAGTTCATCTACTGATAATACTCATGCTCAGGATTTCGAGACGCTTCTCGAACTTGAAGAGTTTCGACCATTAGCTGAAACTGACCATGGACTAGTAAAACCAGTGGTAATCATGACGGTTGATGGAGGGCCAGATGAAAATCCACGTTATCAAAAAGTCATAGGGTTTGCTATACAACACTTTAAGCGACATGATCTCGATGCATTGTTTTTAGCTACCAATGCTCCTGGAAAAAGTGCGTATAACAGAGTAGAGCGCAGAATGGCTCCTCTTAGTCGGGAAGTGGCTGGTTTAATATTGCCTCATGACCATTTTGGGTCTCATTTGGATGAACGTGGCGTTACAATTGATGAACATTTAGAAAGATCTAATTTCGAATTTGCAGGAAATGTATTAGCTGAAGTATGGAGTTCAATGGAAATTGATGGCTATAATGTTAATGCAAAATATGTTGGGGCAGGTGAACAAGATCTTCCTGATTTTCCAGACATGAAATGGTATTCAGAACATGTGCGTGAGAGCCAATACTTGCTTCAAATTGTAAAATGTAGAAATACAGAATGCTGTCGTCCAAGAAGTGGCCTATTTAGATTACTAGACAATAGGTTTCTTCCACCTCCTGTAAAAGTAAAACAAACAGTTGATGACTTGGTTTTGGATGAAAGAGGGCAATTTCTTAATCTTCCAGTCAATTTAGCTCTACGCTTAAGTGCTTCACTCAAATGCACTACGATTATTTTGCAAAACGTGTGGTCTTTATCATGCTTCCGTCAAGTCACTAAATCGTCACATTGAAAATATCGATAAAAAAGTCGTGCTAATGAACTGATGTGCATTATTCAAAATTTAGAGCACCATGATGTTGAATGGCTCGATGAGAATGACGTAGACCGAATGTGGTCAGGATCGACTGAAACATTAAAAAACGAGCCGCCACGATTTTCAAAAACTACAAATCGTTTGCGTACTTGGCATAACATCCAAAAAACATAATATCGCATTTTCAAAAATGTTCGCGCCAGCGGGTGTGGGAGGTAAAAACAAGTGTGAAAAAATCCCATGCCACATTTTTAAGGCCCGTCAAAATGGCTGCCTTCCCGCCAAACGTACCACACGCCTCTGGCGCCAAATTTCCTACTGGGTATAGCGACTCGCGACCGAGAGTAGAGGAGTTAAATACAACGTAACACGCACCGTGTACAGTTCGCATTAAAGATGGGTAAAAATAGCCTTGTGTTCGTCCTGAGTTTGGTGGTTGCCGGATTAGGGTCGTATTTGATCTACCCCTTATTGAGCACGCCCCCCGTGCCGGCGGTTGAGGAGAAATGGTGGGGCCCGGGAGAACCTACGAAAGAAGACGCTAGCGTTAGGGAGATGAAGATCAATGTTTCGGAGAATGTAAGTATGCATTTTTTTACGTGACTGGTTGCCATAGCAACGGCTGCGTGTAGACGCGTTTGTAGCATTTCATCTTGCAGTGACGGGGGTACGGCGCGAAAAGCTCTCTGACAATCAAAGACTGCGATTTTCATAAGACATATCTTCTATTCGTCATTGTCTGTCAGAGCGGACCTTTGCTCTTGGTTGAAGTCTTGTAAGTCAGTAGGTATGTCAGGTCTGGTTGCCCACATACCAAACAGAGTCAGGGAGAAAGAAGGGAAGAAGAAAGGAAGGAAGGAAGGGGGAAGAGCAAAGAAAAAAGAAATGCGTCAATTTGAGGGGTGCCTTGGCATTGCTAATTAGTATTCGGCAATTTTAAATTGATCCTAAAATCAATTTTGGGATTGGTTGTTGAAGAAAAATTATAATTTTGGTTGTACCTAAAGTCGCACGATTTAATTTTGTTCACAGTGCGAGTCGCGGCCTTGTGTGCTTGCGAGCTTGCTCGACTGTGTAGTCTACTGATTCGCGCCTATAACGTATCTGCGCTTGTTGTTTGATGAGTCGCTTAGGTAAGGGAAATAAGTAATATCATAAGGGCATCTAATTTTTCCGAAAAAGATCGAAACAACTCGTTGCCAAGCAATATTTTAACAAGCAGCATGAGTGCTGGTGGCAACAAAAATCCGAGTCGAAGACGAGGATTTTTGCACCTGCAGGAATGCTTTTTTGTTGGAAAAATGTTATTTTGCCTTGTGTTTTTTCGATTTTTACACACGATGCCCGAACGGTATTTGCCAAGACTATTTAACGAGTCTTTCAGGATTAGGTTTAGTTGCTTTAGGCATGTAGTTTCCAAAAAAAAGCTCGTATTTCTCTGCCTTGCAAAATTCCACAAACTGTTTCCATATCTAGAAACCATTTGTAATCCAAAATTGCGCGTTTGTGATTGGTAGAAATTGAGATGAGGGAAATAGTCAAGTTAATAATGTTTGAATTTTCTTACGCAATCCACTTCGACTCCAATACACTTGATTCAACGTTTAGGTATCCTTCTCTGTAGTTGGGGGCTTTGGGAACCATGCAAAACGTTCACCTCAAAAATTTGTGTAGAGAAACTACTTGAGAGAACAAGTTGAAACTTGTCATACCAACAAACGACGTACAGGAATTATAAATAATCGAATCAGTCAATTTGAAACCTTTACTTTAATGATATGCGAATATTCAAGGGTGTGAATCTACACGAAAAATTAATGTTACTTTGGAAATTAATTAATATTTTCAGAACCGCTTTTTCACTGATATTTAGTACGTAGTGAAAGTTGATAAAGTTGCATATTTTTCGATGCAAAAATAATGTTTTGCTTTAACAATGGCGTGCGTACGGGTATTGACTTCTATATTTTTTAAGAAAAAAATGATATGCTAATGTTCTTTTGCCATATAAAAATTATTTTTGAATTCCCCGTTGAATTTAAAACCAAATGATTTTTTATTTGTTTACTCAAAAATGGCGTATCAGAAGAAAGCAATGCAAGAGAGATCATTTGTTTTAAACTGAACGGGCAAATCAAAAATAATTTTTATATGACAAAAAACCATCAGCGTACCATTTTTTTCTTAAAAAATATCGAAGTGAATACTGTTGAAGCTAAAAATTATTTTTGCATTGAAAAATATGCAACTTCATTAACTTTCACTACGTGAAATATCAGAGGCGGTTCTGAAAATATTAATTAATTTCCATTTTTTTTTTCTAATACTTCAACACCCCTAGTTTTTGTAAGGAAACATTTTTTATAAACCAAACTAACATTAATTTTAATTGTTCATGTAGATTAACACCCTTAAATATTCGCATATCATTAATAAACACCCTGTATAGATGTTTCTTATTTGAATACCATCTGGTCCAATGTGCTTATTATATTACTGACTCTTCGAATGGTTGTTTCAAGAAAAGGTGAGAATAGCGTATAGTTTTCAGATCCCATGAAACTATCTTGATTATTTGTTTCTTAACTAAACCGGCATTAACAAGTTGACTGTATTGTGTTAGTTATATATTCTTCACTTCGTCAATACAATACATAAGAAATATCTTGGTTGCAATAAAGTAGAATCACGTAACAGAATAGTTGAATAGTTGACAAAAACTGAATCTTGCACTTTTGTTGAATAACTGTTACCTGCAGCCCTTATACAACCTCTTAAATGTCTGAAGTGTCCTATTAGGTGTGCCCATTCCGCTTGTATAACTGTTGTAAGAGGGTTTTGAAAATGTTCTTACAGTATACAATGCTGTGTAAGGAATACTGTATAATCATTCTTGCAACTCTAATAGGAGTGATAATTGTTAGTTGGGTTGTTATTGGATGGCTGCTTTTCTTAAGGCTATCTAAATTTTGTTATGTCTTCTTGTTGATTGAAGCACCATGTCTTTGTCAGACTGAGTACGACTCATCGTTACTAATTAGACGAATCGAAAACTAGATTTAATCACTTTTGTTGGTTCAATTGTATTTGGTACAATGTTTAATTGACGCGCAATTTGTATTTGTAGTTTGACATGATCTTGTTGGTTACGCAGGTATTAGAAGACCTCGACCATCGACTTTCCAATCATTTGCCGTTTCAAGACCCGTTAGAAGACGCGAAACAGCACTACGGCATGAACACAAGGCTCCTGGAGACAATCGTAGACCACTGGAAGACAAAATACAACTGGAGGGAAAGAGAGAACTTCCTGAACCAATATCCCCACTTCAAAACGAAAATTCAAGGCTTGGATATACATTTCGTCCACGTGAAGCCCAAAGAAACCAAAGGGCTCAAAGTGGTGCCCTTATTGTTGGTCCACGGGTGGCCAGGTTCCTTTAGGGAGTTCCTCGAGACCATCCCAATGTTGACGACGCCTCAGTTAGGAAGAAATTTCGTTTTTGAAGTCGTTGTGCCTTCTTTGCCAGGTAAACTCAATATACCAGGAGTGCTGTAATTTTTACTTTTTACAAGTTTTAGGTCTACTGATAAATAGAAAGCGATTAAAATTTTAACTCGAAATTTCGCAAGATAGCTAAGATATTCCACCTTGATGTTAATAATGCGATGAAGCTCCTCTGTTCGCTGAACATTCGTTAAGTCGTTCTTCGTCTTTAAAAAGTTCGGCTTCAAAATTTTATGAACGTATACTTCTATGTTTACAAGTTTTCATCAAAATTCGATAAATAATTCTGGGTGTTCCATTTTATATGTCACTTAGTGTATTTCATTTGAAAAGGTGTTATATCTTTTATGTATTTTCATAGACAAAATGCAAGAAATATTTTCAGTAAGCCCGGTCGAATATACGAGTGATCAAAGTCTTAAAAGTATACCCTTACAGAAGTACAGAGTGTTCGAGGTACGATTCTGTGAATCGAGAATAATATATCTTCAGCGGAAATATAGTTTTTACTTTGCTTATATGGCGTATAGATAAATAGTTCTTTCAGGTAACATACTGTGTACAGCAAAGTGTCGAGATCACCGAGATGTTACGCTCCGAAAAATTAATCAAACCTAAACGAAACCTAATCCTCGATCGGATCAAACGTACCATGCGCATCATACCCAATTCACATCGGTTCTGTAAAACAAAACTAAAATGGCTACTCATACACCAAAATATCGAAGTTATCTTTTATTTACCGTATCTTCAAAATGCTACCGAGGCTTCGCGAGTGTATACAGATCGTTTTTCAAGAACCTTCGTGATTTCCTTTTTTGTTTGACGGAGCTGTGCTTGAAATTTCTTTTCGAAGAACAGTGAGCTTTGTTTCTGAATGGGGGCACCCCGAATAGGTATTGAAATTTTGTACATACAAAAACTTTCCTAGCTCAAATTACACCAGTGACGTAGAAAGAGATAGACTGTTACAAATGACGTATATTTGCTACGTCTCCATCATGTTTGAAAATCTAATGCAGTATTTGATTAGATATTCAATTGGAAGTCCCTTACCACCCACTTTAAGCGTCAGCGTTGCCACATCTTTCACTTCTGCGATCCTAGTTGTTAACAGGGATGTGGCGATTAGTCTAGCCACAGACGAAAATACCCCTGGTTTGCGAAATAATTGTGAAGTCTGGTTTTATTGCAGGAACTAAAAACTCTTCATACAAGCTTTTAGGTATTTATGAGACCTAGGAAATGAGACCACACGTGAAAAGATCTGACTAATAGCAAAAAAGTTATGGCCGAAAAACGATGCAAACTGCAGGTTTTGGCACTTGTTGGTAATGCGACGATGGTTTCTTGCAGATATTTGAATTCCTACTTCTAAATAACCACAACGAAATTGGAGTAGATTGGTCAAATAGTTTTTGAGAATTTCTAATTGTTTATCCCAAAACACCTGTCTTCCGGCCATCACTACTAGTTTATTGAATAATATACAGGGTTAGTCCAAAGGGCATTTTATAGCAAAATACACATGTGTGTCTTGCCGATATGAATCACAAACCATTCCGAACGAGAAATGTTATTTAGAAGTAGCAATCCTACGGATTTGAAGAATTTCAACTAAAAACGTAAAAACCCGCATTTTGACTCGTTTTTCAGTCATAACATTTTTGCTATTATCCGGATCTTTTCACGTGTGGTCATTTGAAGGTCTCATAAATACCTAAAAATCTTATATGAAAAGTTAACACTTTCGATTGAATACCAAAAAAACACGTTTTTTCATTCTTTGTGGTCAAATAAAAAGTTTTCTCACATAAATTGGTGCGACCATGTTTCAAATACCCCCTTGAACAACTTGCACCAATAAAACCGGACTTCGGGAAATTCGCTAATGATTAGCCGAAAATTGCACGTGAACGCCTAATACAACATAAGGTTGGACATATTGAAGAATAATAAAAATGATTGATTATGTGTGGTTGAGCCCGTTAAAAAGATTAACTCGCTTAGGAATTTTATTTATGTTTTCTAAAACCGCATTGTGTATTGTTATAGTATACAATCGCTAATAATAATTAACACGTTATGTATGAGTGATATCGCACGGTATTGTAGTCGATGGGGTAGAAAGGTCACTTTCACTAATTACTGCGAAAACCATATTTTTTTATTTATTGGATAGTTTTATATACCGATTATTTCAAATTCGACAACTTACAACATTCCGCTTAGAAATTCGAAGTACTTCCGGAGAGAGGTTTTCCCAAAATCGTTTTAATTTTTTCCGGACTTTATTTGTAGCGAGATTTCAAAAAGAATTACACATTAACATTGCCACTTTTTCTTCACTACAAGATGGTATAACTGGTATTTCAATACGACGTTTCCGGCATCAACTTTATTTTTCTTCTGGGCGCCATATTGGATTTTTAAAAGATGAATAGAGTTTATAATTCTGATCAAAAAATATAGAATATCTCATACATCACCATTGCCAAACCTTAGTTATTTCAAAAAACAATAGAATTTTATTATATTATATATATTATATATACTGAATTTATTGAAAAATCGTTGTTTATTTCCTTATTTTCTACAAGAGAGTGTATTCAAATTTTCAATTAGGCGTTTCTTCTTTCGATCTCCATCGTTAACTTTGTTTTTTTCTTATGGTCTCCCTATTGAAATTTGGCGCAGCGGAACACAATTTTTGATTCTGCATTTATGTCACAATAAACACAAATTTAATTAAAGTACATTTTTACTGTCAGTAGTATACTAAGTGACATATAAATCCGAACACCCAGTTTAAATGGTTTTATTTTAATAAAATTTTGTATAAGTACTTAATGAAGCATAATAAGTAAATGATAAAAATTTCAAAATGATTGCACTGCTTTAAAGTCCTTTGACCTTTAATAATGTGTGGATGCACCCTGATGTGCTACGCATTCTCCAACGCGCTTAGGCATGCTTCTGATCAGGTGGTCAATGTCCTCCTGTGGTATCTCATTCCAGGCCACCACCAACTCCTCTCGAAGTGCTTCTAGAGTCTGAGGAGGACGTTGCAAATTGAGCATCAATTATTAAAATAAAACCATTTAAACTGGGTGTTCGGATTTATATGTCACTTAGTTCTCGTACCGATTCTGAGATACCAATGGTATACAGGAATGCTGGTAACGTATCTATGTATATCCAAATAGAATATAATTCAACCTTCTTTTTACTTGAAATCCAGCAAAACGGATTACCGGTACCATGTGTAAATATTTGTGTAATCATATCCGACCGATATTTAAATACTGTCACCTTGTAAAATGCATCTCACTGATTATAGCGTGTTTTCCGTGATAATATTTATACCCAATCATTTTTCAACTCGCACGAGCCTGAACTAATAGAAGGCTGATATACCGGGGGTGTTTTCAAAGTTGAGTCATTTATTTTAACGGCTTGTCCAAGTCGTCAAAAGAAGCTGATATACCAAGAACCACTTATATAAAAGTTACATAATAAGAGAGTTTGAATTATTAAAAAAAATCATTACAAGTTAAATGGATACCGTTAATATAAAAAATCGTCCCGATTCACAGTATTTTTCATGAGTACAAGATGAAGAAGTGACAGGTTTGCATTGCTTAAGGAAATTCCTTTTGAGCTGTTGTGGTTCTGGTTGACCTTGAGTGTCATATAATCAGACAGAATTTCGATTCAAAATTTTCCAAATTCTTTTAAGGCTAACGAGAACCACAACCGATCGAAAGGAATTTGCTTTTTGCATGCATGATCAGCTGTAATTTTTTTATATTGTTCCGCGATAGATACCTATTCGTGAAAGATAGTATATTACTCACTTAACTTAAATCAAGTTCATAGTTTTGGATGTTTGTGGAATACACATTGGATTCAAGTGTTTCGAATGTTTAATATAACGAACTATAATAAATAAATCTGTCTACAATCTAATACTCACCATATTAGGATGTCCAAAAAAATAAAACACTGCTTTATTTGTATCTTAAATTTCTTATCAGTATTTACAACTATTTGATATTTCTTCCTTTAAACAGATGGATGAAGGTCCCCTCTAATCCGGAGCTTAGACTATAACATTAAAGCGTTCTTCTGACTGATTCCTAAACTTTTATTCTTCGAATTGCAGGTTACGGATTTTCTGATGCTGCTGTAAGGCCCGGAATGAACCCTTCAGCTATTGCTGTAATATTCAAGAATCTCATGGCTAGGCTTGGCTTCAACCGGTATTATATTCAGGTAATACATTCAAGCCTAATCTCTGAAAATAGTCGCAAAATGAGACACACATATTTTATGAACGAGTACGGTTGGTAGGAAACCCCAAACGTTTCCCGTTTATAACTCGTTTTACTTCCCCGGACAATTGTAAACATTTGTAAAATGAGATAGTATGTTTTTTGGAGGTTACGTGGGAAGTTAAAAATTAACCCCGTCTAACTTGTTTGTATGACTTGGTGACAGTTAAAAATTCACTGTAGTGAGAACACTGCACGTATTCTTGTGAAACTTTCAATTTAAGTTTACTAAAGAGTGAGGTTAAGACTCAGTACCGACAAAACTTAAAAGACATCCCTCGTATAGGATAAAGTTGTATTGGAACACCCTGCATAATTTTATTGAAAATGATTGTCGCTAATTTTTTTATTCCAGATATACTAATATATATATAATATAGGTGAAAAATTCAAGCTTTCGCCTTCTGTTGGGTACTTCGACAAAATTTAAGCAAGGAGGACTCTTTATACTTTTTTCTATTCTCTCTAGCTTTCAATGGACTTTGCCATCATCATCAGGAGCTGCAATTACATTGATAACACAATCAATGTAATTGCAGCTCCTGATGATGATGGCAAAGACCATTGAAAGCTAGAGAGGATAAAAAAAGTATGAAGAGTCCTCCTTGCTTAAATTTTGTCGAAGTACCCAACAAAAGGCGGAAGCTTTAATTTTTCACCTAACTGGTGTAGACGACAATGACCACGTCTCAAGTTATATATATATATATATATATACTATTATTTGAGACTAGCAAACTCGATTTTTTACGCTTGGTTCAATAGACATTCCAATTGCAGCTGATATATAGCATCACCCAGAAGTCGAATTCAAGCCGGAAACGGGGGCTAGGTCATGTCATATAATAATTATCAAAGGAATATAAAAAAGTTTTTCAATTAAAGGCTTTAAAAATATCTGAAAAATCTACACCATGTGATAAATAATCTACTAGCTTCCATTACTACAAATTTCTATTTTTTCTTAGACGAAGTGTAATTCTACGTAGTGATAGCGAGACAGATAGTAACGCCACTTTCATTAAATCATCAGAATCAACCTACTCGACGCCATCATAAATTTATTGTAGCAATCATTTCGATAAAGGTGTCTCAAATAGATCGAATCTATATCTCACATACAAATTGCTTTAACCGATTTTTTTTTATCATAATTTATATGAAGAATCAAGCTACTTGACGCCACTTTCTTTTTTGTCTAGGGTGGAGACTGGGGCTCAATGATAGTCCACGTGATGTCAGTCTTGTACCCGGACAGAATCCTAGGCGTCCACCAGAACATGTGCTTCGTGAACACACCGATCGCCAACATGAAGATGTTTATGGCCAGCGTCTATCCATCCCTATTCATGAAACAGGAACACGTCAATCTGATATATCCTTTAAGCAAGATGTACTCTTACATATTATTGGAGTCTGGGTATCTTCACTTACAGGCTACCAAGCCGGATACAGTCGGTAAGATTTTATTTCATATATTTTTTGCCAAACTTGTGTCCCCCTCGAAAACAAAATCGACGGGTCTGAGCGTTTTTAAGTTAAAATTTTCTGCTGCAACAACCGAAAAATATTTTCACCTTGGCTTATTCTAAAGCATTTTTGTGCGATTGTTAAGGGGCCGTTCAAGTATTACGTAACGAGGTTTTTTACAATTATGGACCATCCCCTTGTCAGCAAAAGTAAGCAAATCCTCTCACGCTTACGTAAACATTTTGGTACATTTCTCAATTTGAATCAAGTGTTGGGGAACCCCTGAAGATGCGTTTCGCTTTGGAGCGTAGAATCGCAGGGTTGCCATATGTATTTAAATCAAAATCGTCTAAATTGTAAATTCTATAGAGAATCGGAAAAAGTAAAAGAGACTCTCTCGTTACCGATGTCATCAAGTATAAGCAAAGCGCAGAAAAAAATGGCGAGTATGGTTAAAAGTAGCCTAAAGGTCAACGTTTACAATTGTGAATTTATTTTTTTTTAAATAAAAAGTTTCTTGTACCTTATTTTTGAAAAAACCCTCATTTTTAGGAGTTGCTCTCAGGGACAGCCCTGTAGGTCTAGCGGCTTACATTCTCGAAAAATTCACAACGTGGACCAATAAGGAATGGAAAGATCTAGAAGACGGCGGACTCACAAAGAAATACACTCTCACGAATTTGTTGGATAATGTGATGATCTACTGGGTCAATCGGAGTATCACAACCTCTATGAGGTTGTATTCAGAAGCATTTTCATCAGATTATTACAACCAACAGTGGGATAGGTAAGTTTAAAAATAAATAGGTAGATGTTCTTTGGATCTTAAAAATAAAATACAAGACCCGTCAAGTATAACTTAATAGCGCTACAAAAAAAAACAGTTGAATGCAGACTCTTCGGTTTGGTTATGGTTTTTCTATAGTATAAAGTATGTTATATATATATATATATAACTTGAGACGTGGTCATTGTCGTCTAGACCAGTTAGGTGAAAAATTAAAGCTTCTGCCTTTTGTAGGGTACTTCGACAAAATTTAAGCAAAGAGGACTCTTTATACTTTTTTTAATTCTCTCTAGCTTTCAATGGACTTTGCCATCATCATCAGGAGCTGCAATTACAATGATAACAGTAGCAACAAAAGTGTAAAATGAATTTAAACTGATTCAACTTACAGTAGTATGTGAGGATGTTGCTAATTGTTGTTTACGTATAGGATGAGGGAAACGTCCAGTAACATGGTGAGAGCTGGATAGATGGTACAATGGTCAAAATTATATAAAATATGACAAGAACAAGTTAAAAACAGATTCAAAATTATTTAAAAACATTAAAGCATTACATCGTGAAGCCACTTGATGATTGCACAAAATGGTGGTCATGGAATAATGAGTGAGATGAACCCTTTGACAGAAGGCCGAAGGTTGTCAATGTCTGTGTAGAAAGATGGAACGAATTGTGGGCGTGTGCCAACGTTGCCAAATCACTTCAGATGACGTGATTTTCAGAATGTTATGTAAGAAATTGTTAAACCGACCAGAGGCAGTTGAATAAACTATATTTTAATTAATGGGAAATTAAATTAACAATTATTATTAAATCGTGAGAAGAGAATTATTAGATTTTGAGTGGAATGAAATTTACTGGTGGAATCGACTAAGATACAGATTCTATTTATGGTTATGAAGAGTCAAAATTTGGGGAGATATGTAAGTTCTCCAATTTTTCGCAGTTTAGCAAATATGAGTAAATGACACTCAGTTGTTTAACATCTGTCTTTTTGTTGAGACAGTTGTTATTCATGAAAATGTGGGACATTTCCAGGAATAAACGTTTGGAAAGGTGTTTTTCTTTATCAAGAACTTTGATACTTGTGTAATTCATAGAATGCCCTGTTGTGTTAACATGAGATGCTAGAGCGCATCTTTAACCAACACAGTCTACTTGTTAATTTAATTTCCCATTAATTAAAATATAGTTTATTCAACTGCCTCTGGTCGGTTTAACAATTTCTTACATAACATTCTGAAAATCACATCATCTGAAGTGATTTGGCAACGTCGGCACACGCCCACAATTCGTTCCATCTTTCTACACAGACATTGACAACCTTCGGCCTTCTGTCAAAGGGTTCATCTCACTCATTATTCCATGACCACCATTTTGTGCAATCATCAAGTGGCTTCACGATGTAATGCTTTAATGTTTTTAAATAATTTTTAATCTGTTTTTAACTTGTTCTTGTCATATTTTATATAATTTTGACCATTGTACCATCTATCCAGCTCTCACCATGTTACTGGACGTTTCCCTCATCCTATACGTAAACAACAATTAGCAACATCCTCACATACTACTGTAAGTTGAGTCAATTTAAATTCATTTTACACTATTGTTGCTACTGTTATCATTGAAATTGCAGCTCCTGATGATGATGGCAAAGTCCATTGAAAGCTAGAGAGAATTAAAAAAGTATAAAGAGTCCTCTTTGCTTAAATTTTGTCGAAGTACCCAACAAAAGGCGGAAGCTTCAATTTTTCACCTAACAGGTCTAGACGACAACGACCACGTCTCAAGTTATATATATATATATATATATATGTATAGTAAAAAATAAAATTGCCATGTGTCTAATTTATTAAAAGTATAAATTATCTTCCATCGGCTTTGTAGTTTTTTCTACGATTTTTAAAATTTTGTCAACTTAATGGCCCACCCTGTATATTCTCCCAAGATGCCAAAAATTATTTCTTAAGCTTATGCGAAGCTGGGTTTGGGAAGCACATATAGTTTATTATTATTATTATTATATTATTATTAATTACACTTTATACCATTTTTTCCTACTTTGATGAGTGATTCTCGTTTTTTTCGCAGACAGCCAATAAAGGATGTACCCAGTGGCTGTCTTAGGGCGGAACACGAGATCGCATTTTCTCCGGACTTTATCCTTGAAGAAAAATACGAAAATTTGGTGCATCTGAAAGACTACGATAACGTCGGCCATTTCGCTGCTTTCCAAGAACCGGAATTGTTCAGCAAAGATGTTTACGATTTCGTCGATAAGGTGGAGAAATTACCGAAGGAAAAGAAAAAATAACAAGCTGTTTTTTTTCCTGTTTTGTTAGCGCCGCATGTCCTTTTTTTCGACAGCCTGTCTGGAGGAGTATGCTCAATAATGTTCGTATGATTGTTTCGTGGTGTTTAAAGAGATGACTGAAAAACAATTCTATCAGTTTATTTTTTGTGCGTTTTTTATACGTTTTTTTTCATCATCGTAACTAGTGAACAAATATGTGTCACAAAGCTACGATTAAAGAAAGAATGTATAATAGGTGTAAAATGCACAAAAAATGCATTTCTTGTTAAAAAAATAATGTTTTTTTTTTTTAGTCAGCTGATAATTCGTTTAAAAGGATTTATAACACCAAACAAGCAGTTGAAAAAGGGACATGCGACATTTGTGATTTGTTGGTGTAATAATTGTTTACTATGAAAAATTAAATTTGCATTGTTTCCATAATCTTTTTTTTTATCTTTCCCTGTTTATTCCCAAAACGTGTGTAAACTTTGACAAGCAAATCTACAGGGTGGCCCGATATTCCTTGAACAAAGAAGTACCACGTATTTTTAGACTCGGGGCGTCAACATTTTCTTTTTAAAACACATTTTTCAGTCTATTTGATCGAAATTCAGAAAATGTGTTTTGGTAGATGTCCTGATATTTGACTTTTACTAAAAACCTTTACATGAGCAGAATTTTTTTGCAACTCTCTCTACGACTTTGAATTGTTCATTTAAAAGACCCTATTATTTACTCCATTTTCATCTTTATAAAAATATTTTTCGGAGCTGGTTCCTAGAAAATATTATCATTAAATCAAGCGTCAAAAATGTTTGGGCCAAGCTGTTATGTGCGGGAACGAAAGTGTGACCACCACTATTGAACAAGGGCGTCCCCAGAGGGGGTAAGGGCGCGGAGCTGCCCCCCCTCTTTTCCCTAGCTCGACAAAATTAAAATGGAGAGTCCACAAGCTCAGTTTTTTTTTTTTGGAAAAACGCTCAGACCCGTCGATTTTGTTTTCGTGGGGGACACAAGTTTGGCAAAAAATCACGTTAACACGTGCAGCCCCCTGGGCGGGGGTGACACCACCCCTAAAATCTTAAATGGAAAGGGCGGTCGAGTGATACCTTATTTTAAAGGTCTTTCAATTCCCTTTATAGTGATATAAAATTAATGTACTTCACTTCAGTAGTTTTGAAGGTTTATTGATTTAAAGCTTAAATAAAACTAATACATCATCATTAGTGGAGATCAATACATTTGGCGGCAAAGTAATTTAAAAATGAAGAACGAACTGACCCGTTAGGCATGCAAATGTTGAAAATGGCCACCATGACTCTCCATGCAATAATAAAGATTTTGCTCAAAATGTTGCCGCACATTTTGTCAATATTTGAGGAGTAATTTGAAGGCACTCATTCACAATCCTTTGTCGCAGGTCTTCTAATGATGTTGGCTGAGTAGCATAGATTTTGCTTTTTAAATGACCCCACATAAAGAAATCTAAAGGTGATAAATCTGGCGATCTTGGGGGCCATTCAATGGCACCTCTTCTACTAATCCGTCGATCTGGAAACGTCTGATCTGAATACTCGTATTGTCGAACACGTAATGCGTAATGTGGTGGGGCACCATCCTGAATATCAACCTATTCGCAATGTACCGCCGCTTGGAGAAAAATAGCTTAAAGATCAACGTTTCCAATGGTGAATTCTTTTTTTTTTTTCAAGTAAGAAATTTCTGGTGCCTGAAAAAAAAATGTGAGTGCCCCAGTTTTGAGACAACCTCCGTAGTATCGCTGCTAGCAATTCGGCATACAGTATTACCGAGTATTATAAATAATGCTAGTTTTATTTATATTTTATCTATAATTATTTTTACTTAATTGGTACGTACAAAGTACAATGAATTGTTAACCATCCAGCTACTGCTGTTGCCATGAACCAACGAACCTTGAACAAAGAGCAGATATACAGTGGTGTAACAAAAGTTTGGAACGCATCGAAAATCTCATCTATTTTTTTTAAAAATTGGTTATTTCCGCTATCTTGCCAAATCTACATTTTTTCAGAAACTGTATGCAACTTTTTTTTTGTGTACATTTTATTCGATATTTGTATTCTTCGAGAAATTTGGAATACTTTTTATCAAACATATTTTGACGTAGACCTCATAGTTTACGAAATATTCGCGATCAAACTATGATATTCAAACAATAAAACGTATTTTTTTCACCGAAGCAAAGTCATTTTTAATGACATTTATGCCAATCGGAATCCAATAACAAGTGCTGCTGTTAGAAAAGTTTTGAGAAAATTTGAAATAACTGGACGTGTAAAGGATGTTCCACGATCTGGGCGTCCCAAAACAGCCACTGACGAAAATAAGGCTTTGAATATTTTAGTGAGCATAGCGGAAAACCCCCACCTTTCTACTAGAACACTTAGTGAAGATAACAATACACCTAACATGTCTGTGAAACGCATTTTAACGACGGAAATGTTCCATCATACGTCAAAGTATAATCAATGAAAAGTGTTCAGAGTTTCTCGCAGAATGCAAATATCGAATAAAACCTAAAGTTTCTGAAAAACTGCAGATTTGGCAACGTCGCGGATATCATTAACGAATCCGCCGTGGTTTCGAATCTAATCCTACTAATTTTTGAAAAAATTAGATGAGTCATCCGTCAGATATTCGATGCGTTCCAAACTTTTGTTGCAGTCTGAATAGTACTGAAAATGATGAAGCTTTAGTTGCGGTATCGAGATGAAAGTAAGGACATCTCAAATGTCGAAGTCCATCTAACCATGTCAACTGTAGACCGTAAAATATAAATTTAAAATAGATTTTTTTATTAAAATCGTTTATTTTGATTTCACTAATATTGCCACGAGTGATCACCCTGTATAGTATCCTCGGCAAATAATGCTTAATTTTCAAAGTTTTCTTTTGGAAATTATTTTTTTATAATATTTCATTACTAATTATGTTAATGTTATTTAGTATTTGTTGTTGTTATTACATAATTAATGATCAAGAATTATAAAAAAAAAAATTCCAAAAAAAACCTTTCCTATTATTCCTTGTTTGCAAGTACGTTGTATTTCCAATTGCTTAATCCAAAGGACGTAATAAAAATTGCACAAAAGTCAGTTAGGGCTAAATTAGCTCCTTAATGTTATACAAACCACCGCCAAATTACAACAAAATTAGGTAAAGGATATTTAAGATATTTACGAAAAAAAAAATAATTTTAACACCCTGTATCTTCTGAACGAACTTTTTATCTTAAAATTACTCAAAGAATCGTCTGTTAAATTTATGGTACATACTTAATTAACACCCTGTATCAGTGAGTTCAATTCAATTAAAGTGAAACATATACAGAGTGCGCCATCTTTTATGTCGGTACGTAAACGTGAAATAACTTTGAAAACGAAAAACCGATTTCTATATATCGCGTATTTTTATTAAATATGGTCCTTTACAATTTATTGAGACTAGTTTCTGAACACAACATCTATCAAGTGGCCACCTTTATTGGCCAAAACAAAATGTGCCCGTTTTGCTGCGTTTTCCATTACTTTTTAGAGCATCTCTGGTGGAATAGCGACGATTGCGTTACGAACGTTTGCCTTGAGCTCTTCAGTGGACTGGAGGTTGACTTGACTTTTCAAATAACCCCACAAGAAGAAGTCCGATGGGGTCAAATCTGGAGACCTGGGTGGCCAGTCAATGTCACCTCTTTTTGACATCAGACGTTCAGGAAATTTTCGTTGCAGAAACTGGATTGTTTCAGTGTCTTGTTGAAACCAGTAACCATGAAGAGCTTTCTCACGCATTTTTGGCAGACATAATGAACCAACATCCACCGATATCGATTTCTATCGACTGTTTCGTTTTCGTTGAAGAGAAGTGGCCCAATGATGGTTTTGGCGCAAACGCCGGCCCAAACAGTCACTTTCCGGTCATGCAACGGCATTTCGTGGATCTCATGTGGATTTTCCGTCCTCCAAATGCGGCAGTTTTGCTTATTAACGCCGCCAGAGAGCGTGAAATGGGCCTTGTGGTCATCACAATTTTCTTCCAAAGATCAGATTCAGCATCAATCATGCGAGCGACTGTTTGGGCGTATTCCAAGCGACGTGTACGGTGAATTGGCAATATTTTTTGTGTTAACTGCACCTTATAAGGAAACAAATGCAAATCATCCTTCAAAATGCGCCGCAACGTGGTTCCACTGATGCCAAAATGCTGAGCGCGGTGACGATACGACACTTTTGGGCAACGCCGTCTCTGACCCCTTCAACCAATTCATTGGTCGTTGATGAACGGTATGTTATCGATCTCCCACTGTCCCGTACTCAAGAAAATTCTAAACCAAACGACGGATAGTGTTGTCAGACGGTGTCTGAACGACGATTTTCAATGTACATTGTGACTATTTCGGCGCGTTGTTTCGGTGTAAATCGATTCATGACTAAAATTATAGTAAATTGACGTTTCAAAAACACGTATAATCGAATCACTCGGTTGGTAAATGTCAAAGTCATTCGATGTTTCAATACCGACATAAAAGATGGCGCACCCGGTACATGTTACGAGGGTGGTCCCAGAAGTACCCGGCCTGACCTAGAGATGGCGATAGAATATCATTGTATTCAAAAGTATGCAACCTATAAAGCATATGTGTCAAGTTTGAAGTCGCCACGTTGTTTAGTATTTGTTTGGCAGCCATCAATACTGAACGTTTTCAGTGAATTTGTGAAAATAGAGAAAATTGGTCATCGTTATGTGGTTTTCCAAACTTGAAAGAATGGCTCAGTAGTCAAAGATTCTCCAACGATGAAGTGATTTCGGCAGTTAATGGCTATTTTGAGGAGCAATACAGTTCTTATTATAAAAAGGGTATCGAACTTATTGAACATCGCTGGGAAAAGTGTATAGATCTATAGGAGATTATGTTGAAAAATAAATACATTCTTTTACAAAAATTTTGTGTTTTCTTCGTTGGGTCGGGTACTTCTGGGACCACCCTCGTAGATTTTGAATATCAACAGACCCACTACAAACTGTACTATGATCCTCCTAAAGTAACCTTGACGCATTAAATCTTTGTCGATTGCACAAATATTGACTGATTAGATAATTTCAGCTAATCGATAGTCAATAGCACAGAGTTTGAATACTCATCAGTAGTTGAATTGAAGAGAGTAAGCCTGAAAATGAATAGGATTTTTGTTTGTTCAATAGCGATATTCGTGGTTTATATAGGCTGGAAAGTGAACGATTTTATGGTAAAGCCACCTTTACCAGAAGTTGAAGACAAGTGGTGGGGACCTGGAACCCCCAGAAAAGTAGACAATCCTATCAGGAATTTCACCATACAAATACCAGACGAGGTAAGGTCTAATTACAATACAGGGTATCCAAACTATAATAATTATAATAAATGACTTTATTGAATACAACAAATAATCTTTATACAAAAGTAATTTATAAAAAAGTACAGAATACATTGACTAATATTGGCGAAATTCAAGTTTAAAGCGACTCTAATGAACCAAAATAAGACAAAAAAAATAATAATAGTAATAAGTCTTCAAACAACAATACAGAATAATCATAATAATAATCCCGTGTTAACATTAAATTGACTGAAAGTAAATTAAAATTTCAACAAGATATTAATTGATACTGTTCAGTATAAAATTTGGATACTGGTTACTATAAAATTTTTTCTACTTATATACCTAAATTATAAACTTCAGTCTCTATTCTAAAAAAAGTTTGTTCTGATTTGTATTTAGCAAATATTTCTTATATTGTATTTTGAAACTTGAAATAGAAAGATTAAGAAACTGGTTGGGAATTGAATTAAATTGTTTAACAGCATTGTATGAGAACGTTGAAACTATGAAGCGGCATAGTTAATTTTTCTAAATATCTCACATTTATATCATGAACAGAATGTCGGAAAATTGAGCGTTCTCTTATAGAATCAGGTGAACCTTGAGTGTTTATAATTTTTAATAAAAAACTAGAAAAATGGAGAATTCGACGCTCATTCGTTTTAAGCCATTTAATTTCTTTATACAAATGAGATATATGATCAAACCTACGCAGATCATAGATAAACCTGAGGCACGCATTTTGCACCTTCTGAATACGACCTCTAGTTGCCTGATCTAAGCAAAACCCATAGACAAAATCGCAATAATTGAAATTGGAAAGAATTAGGGATTCACACAATTTTTTTTAGTGATCTGTTTAGTATGTCTGTTATTATACAAAACTTTTAGAGAACAAAATGATTTTTGCATAAGTGATCTTTAAATCTAAGCTCAGAATCTAAAACTATACCGAGATTTTCTGTACTTTCAACAAAATTCAATTTTGAATTATTAGTCTTTATATTGATATTAGCTTTCAAAAGCTCAGTCTTAGATTTGTTACCAAAAATCATTACATGCGATTTTTTCGGATTAGGTTTTAAGTTGTGACCTGATGAGAGATTGTCCAAAAATGGAAAGTAATTTTACGAACAAACTGGAAAAGATATCAAACATCTGTTTTCATGGCAATATTGATATATTACTAGTGCATTTTTTCAAATTATTTTAATATATACACGGTGCTCCATAACTTCGTGCCAAAATACAAAGTTCCCAAGGGAAACTATTTAATGATGTAGAAATATATAGGGTGTACTATTTGAAATTTACGAGAAAAGGTAGATTTTGCGTTTTTAGATACCCTGTATACATAGAAACATATTTTGGCATTTCTTAAAATCTACGATAATAAACTTTTTGTGAACTAAAATTCATCTAAATACCTTCAAAAATGGTGGAGTTGCGAGACGACAAAGTTGAGAATTTTTCTAGACATTTACTAAATATCTATGCAATTCACCATCGAAACCGTATATTATATGATATCAAACTTTTTGTTTTTAGTTCCATCCAAACATACAATAAAACGCGGGGTATTCTATTTAAGAAAAAACATGTACATGTTTATTATGGCACGAAGCTATGTATACAGGGTGTCCGCAAAGTTGGGGTTTTCCTTTACACGACGTGTAGATCTTGAGAACATAAGCAATTTTTCTTAGTACCATACACATCAATGTCTTAAGGGAACCGAGATAAAGGGCTCTGCAACATCAAAAATATCTTAATACCGTCCTGTAGCCGCGACATCACCGACTGGTACAAGGTCACTGGCTCAACCCGACGACAGAACTGGGTCGGGGTCAGTGTGTCAGGTCAGTATGCAACCTTCAACCGACGGTTACGGTCACCCGTGTAGAGGTAATCGCGTAGACGAGAATCCCTCAACAAGCAACGTGTACAAGCCCTCCAACCTGACGATTTTCCAGCAAGAGTGCGGTTTTGTGAGTGGTTGTTGCATCAACATGACAATCCGGACTTTTTGATGTGCATATTGGTGACAGACGAATCTACGTTCACGCGTAATGGGGTGAATAACTTTCGCAACACTCATGTTTGGTCAGTAGATAATCCGCACGCTGTCCGTCGGGCACATTTTCAACAAACATTTTCGGTTTGTCCTGGCATGGTGAACGGTATGCTCATTGGACCATTTATTCTCCCAAATCGATTGGACGGGATGCAATACCTAGACTTTTTACGCAACATTTTGCCTTCCTTGTTAGAAGGAGTGTAAGACAATCAATGTGGTTTCTGCGTCTGCTCAGTAGCGCATCAGCTGATTTCATTTTCTGTTGGAGCGGTATGATTTCGGGCAGAGACGTACTTAGCCCTTCTCGTCAACTGGAGAGTGAGTACTTTTCACCTTTATTTTTTTTTACTTGGTCGCCCTCGTTTCACTACACATTACCTTTGTTATTTCAAGGGTAGTTGTTTCCGAAAAGGAAAACCCCAACTTTGCGGACACCCTGTATATTGCTATGTATCTTTCATCATTATTTCCTGCAAAAAGTAACTAGCTCCAAACCAGTTTTCCGGGCGTATTCCATTATCATTGATAAATAAGATGCGGAGATTATTCGAAGTTTTAATGCCTAAATGCAAAGTCAAAAAGTTCAGTTTATTTGTCGCACAGCTTTTAATCTCGTGAAAAAATCAAAACGTGTGACTCACGAAGCTTTTGCAATCTGCCGTCAGGTTCTAGAAGACCTGAAATACCGCCTGGACCACCACAGATCGTTCACACCTCCCTTGGAGGGTATCCAACACCAATACGGCTTCAACACCAACCTCCTGAAAAAGATCGTCGATTTCTGGCGGATGAAATACAACTGGCGCGAACGAGAAAAGTACCTCAATAAGTACCCGCAGTTCAAAGTGAACGTTGACGGATTGGACGTACATTTCATCCATGTGAAACCCGATAAAGTCCCTGAAGGAGTGAAAGTGCTGCCGTTGCTGTTGGTTCACGGATGGCCAGGATCTGTAAGGGAGTTTTACGACATTTTGCCCAAGTTGACAACGCCTCGCGAAGGATACGATTTTGTTTTCGAAGTTGTTGCTCCACATATTCCAGGTTTGTTTTCTTCTCATATACAGGGTGCTCGTCTGAATACTTTCCAGAACGGATTTATCGAAAACCATTAAAAAAGGACACGCCAAAAGATTTGTCAGGAAAGACAACTTTTTAACCAAAAACAGCTTCACCCCCTCTTACCCTCTGCCCCCCAGGGTCATCCCCTTAAAAATCTTATATACTAAGTGACATATAAATCCGAACACCCAGTTTAAATGGTTTTATTTTAATAAAATTTTGTATAAGTACTTAATGAAGCATAATAAGTGAATGATAAAAATTTTAAAATAATTGCACTGCTTTAAAGCCCTTTGACTTTTAATAATGTGTGGATGTACCCTGATCTAGCAAAGTATTACGAAAACCCCAACTCTCTATCTTAACTCGTACGCGAGATACCCCGTAATATCATCGAAAACGGGACACCCTGTACATGTCATTAAACATCCCGAAAACATAATATTTCGATTCGAATTGTCTCGCGATTACGATACTTCCTTGAACTATCACGACCTGCTGGATAACGCTGTCCCTTTTATAATTTTATCAATTTTCTGTCTTTCTATAACATTTTTACTCGATATCTTCTCTTCACCACTTAAGGACTTTTATTTTCAGGTTATGGTTTCTCCCAGGCAGCTGTTCGTCCAGGATTGGGACCAGAGCACATAGGGCACATGTTCAAAAAGTTGATGGAAAAAATAGGGCACAAGAAGTTTTATATGCAAGCCGGAGACTTTGGACATATTATCCTGCAACATTTAGCAATTTGGTTGGTGCATGCAGTAGTTATACTTTATCCAAAAGATCCCTATTTTGACATCTTACAACATTTTTCGAAAACTTTTCGATTCGCGATACAATTTCCAGAAATAAAAATCTTGATACATTATCGTGATACCAAAAGAGGTGCGTAAAACTATAAGATCATGTAGCTTCTGCTAGCAATTTTTATTTTTAATTCGCTGTTTTCTGGTAACGATCGTTACTCAAACACTAGCCGAGAACGGTGTCTAAATTTTCGTGCAAAAAGTCTAAGCTGCCTTGTCCCTAATTTGCTGACTAAATTTGTATGTCATCCGCAAAAATTTTGTTTTCTACTGTTATTACATGGTTAATATCATTAACAAAAATCACAAATAGTAGGGGACCCAAATTTGTACCTTGTGGAATCCCGTTGTTGGTGTGCATGATTCTAATTTGAACCCGTTATACTGCACAAATTTAAACGCGTTCACATAAATACGAACGGAACAATAACGTATATCCGTAAGTTTTGCCACAAAATTCATTGACTTTAATTTTAACAAACACAGAATAATATCAAGTTGCCTTTGGAAACAAAAGTTTGTTCACTTACCTTACTGTCAGGTATTTTGAATTTTTCGCTTTAAGATGTCATATAAATTAGAAATAAGAAAAAGTGTCTACAGGTTGGTTGACCCAAAGCTGAAATCTATCGAATAGTCCATAATGAAAACATTTCCCCAAATAATCGTCCAAACGTGCCTCCAAAAGAGGATTTTTGGGCTCTACTGTCTAGGAAGGTTCATCATGGAGGCTGGGAAAACGGCGAGTGTACAAAAAACCGTGAACAATTGATCTGAATTCCACATAATTCGATAGTACAGATTCCTTCATTAAAAAAAACTCCGATAAAATGTGTTGTGCCAAAACTTTTAGGACATACGGTATTCCGCCGATTTTGATCATTTTTTGATAACCAAATAAAGTAAACAAACGATGAAGCATAACAATGACAAGTGACAACACTCATGAGGATGACATCGTTCAATTTCCGAACGCACTGAACAGGCACGTCAAACAATTACGAACAAAGTACACTCTGTAACAATTTACGTAGATCATATACGTACGGATCTCTTTTCTGATTGGTAGACCAATAGCAATAATGGAATTTACGCAAAAACCTGAAAGATACGACTCATTTCTTATCAGATTTATTTTTTGTCGACATCCACTGCGAACAAATAGCGACAGGTACTGCTTAGCTTTGATTGGCCAACCAGACTACCAATACGATTGTCTTTTAGAGCTTATAGGTCGGTGCTCGATAGTTTTTTTTTGTAATAACGGGATATATTGGTTACTAGAAATAGTTTTTGTTTATTCCGTAGAAAGAAAATAGAGACACAATTTATAGATATGCCTAAAATGTTCAAATTTATTTTGTAATGTAATCATGTTGTTATGATTTTAAAAATGTGAGTTGTTCAAAAAAATTTATACATTTTTTTAAGCAAAACGTAGTATTTTATGATATCTTACTGACTATAACTCAAGATCAACTAAAGATGCGTAATCTTGTTATTTAGGTTTCCAGACAGCGTTTTGGGGTTCCACAGTAACTTTTGCGTGGTAATGACTCCAACGTCTTATATCAAACATTTGGTATCTGCGATATCACCTTCGTTTCCTTGGTACGTGAGACCAGATCACTACGACAGGGTGTTTCCTATCAAGGAGAAGATTGGATCCAGGTTACGAGAAACTGGATACCTGCACATCCAGGCAACCAGACCAGATACCCTCGGTGAGTATGAGACGAAGAATCGATTTGATTTTACCATCAAAACGATGCTGAGGTAGTAATAATAATTATACAGGGTCTTTCACAGCTTACCGACAAACTTTAAGCACATATGCACTGTTACGAAAGAAGTTGATTTATCAAAAAAAAGTGTAATAAAGGTCCTACAGAAATTGTTATAAGCCTGAGTTTCAATAATAAATTGAAAAAAAGATATCTGTATTTTAGACTTCTGGACGTCTATTTATCGGGATACCTTATCTCGTAGAAGAGAAAAAGTGGAAATGTTAATGTACAACTGAAGTAAGGGAAAACATAAAAGCGATTTTGGATAAATTCTGTTTCTTTCGGAGATACCCCGAATTTTGAAGCTTTCTATGTACCATTTTCTTAACTAAATGCGCCACATTACGCCCATTTATCTTCTTATCTCTTATCGGTTCCGAAATCCCAATGATGGAGTCGAATTTGAAACACCCGGTATACCTGTATATCTTTGTTTGTAGGTGTTGGTATTAACGATTCCCCGGTAGGTTTAGCAGCCTACATCCTAGAAAAATTCATAGTAGGCACCAACAATACCTTTTTAGAGCGTGAGGACGGAGGCCTAGAAGAATACTACACTTACACGGACCTCATCGATAACCTCATGATATATTGGGTAACAGGCTCTGCTACGACGTCTTTCAGATTGTATGCTGAAACGTTTAATAAGGAATATTTTGCGAGTCCTTTCAGAAGGTAAGGAATATTTTCATTTTTCTTGTGAGTGCCAGTGGTGGATCAAGGATCTCTGGATCGTCATGATTTTCGGAGCATACATTTTATCCACTTTGATGCCCCATAAACCCATAGCTCGACGCACATTGTGTCCTCCACGTCGTCTTTGATCCGCCCTTGCTGAGAGGCTAGTTGACACTTTTTTTTAACTAAATGATTCAACTTTGAAAACACCCTGTATTCTGCCTGAATGCGAGACATATGAAGCTAGAGTCCGTCCCTGATTCCTATGCTATAACTAATTAGTAACTTTAGGTCGCTAGTATTGGCAGCACTGGTGAATACTAAAATTTTATATATATAACGCTTTTTATTTCAAACTTCATGCTACAACTGAATTGGTAATTATTTCGTTCTTTCGGAAAGCCCGGTTTAAGAAAAGAGGACATTTTTAATAGAAGCAGTATGAAATCCAAAGGCAGGCAACCCAAAACTACACTTCTGTCTTTCTACTGCTAGTTGGGTTGCCTACCTTATAGCATTACGAAAGATGATTAACAGCCTCCTTACATTATTTGAAATTTTAATTATTGCTTTTAGCGCTGTAAAGTTTTGTTATGAACTAACTATGTGAGTGTGTGGTGATTAGATGTTGTGTAACAACTTCATTCATAATTATTGTATTTTACTATTTTTCAGGCACCCCGTCCAAATTCCAGTAGCTTGTGCAAGATTCGAAAAAGACTTCTATGCTGCAGATGGGCTTCTAGGAGAGGTCTACGCAAACTTAGTACATCTTTCGGATCACTTTGGGGGGCATTTTGCGGCTCTGCAGTTTCCTGAAGTGTTGGCGAACGACGTTTTCGTGGCCATCCAGAAAATACGACAAAAAAATATACTGAAGTGAAAATAAAATATATTCTTGCATCACTTGTGTTTTTGGTTCAACCGCCCCTTTGAAGCTTTGCAGCTGACTTTATTTGATTGATCTTCAATTTGAATGGTAAAACAGATCCTATATAGATTCTACTTACGAAAAGACACGTTGCTATTACAGGTTTATATTATTACAGAAATCTGTAACGAAATTGTTCGAAGCCATCTATTGACCAAATATGCAACTAAGATTCAAGTCAGTATTACAGATTTCTATCCAATCACAGGAATCTGTAAGGCACTATCTGTCGGTTAAAAGCTTAATCAAGATCTATTCTGATATTACAGGATTCTACCAGATTACTATATTTATACTTGTACTGACATCTAGCGTTTAAATCTATATTTTCATTAATTTTACAGGAATCTGTAGTTGAACGTTTGCACTTCTGACGTTTTTTGACATATTTGGGTATAAAAATTAAAATAATGGTTGACGTAGCCTAGATGGTACCTATTCCGTGTGGTTAAAAACAAAATCTATTATGAATTTTATAAAAATTAACCGTATTTAGAAGAATGAGATAAAAATCAGACGCATAATCAAGAAATGATCGGACACATGCGAGACCATGTGGCCGTCAATTTATCCACAGAATCGCTTCTGGAAAATAAAAAGAGAACCAAAAGTTTGAGAAGGGTGAGTTTCTATTTTATTTGAATTTGCTTTTATAATCCAATACACATGTGATTAAAAAATATGGTTAATGGCATCAGTATGTTTTATCACATTTATTATTTTAACATTTCCAATGGTTTGTAAACTAGGCATGTACGATTTTCGCTACAAACCTCTTCCAAAAATATATTATAAAAGAGAATAGGAGGCTTTCATGCATAGGCACAAGCACCACACTTGACAAAACCTGAGAATTTGTTATAAAAAAGTAAGGTTACCTGTTGTACTAACTCTTTTGAAATCCAATTTTTGTGAAAATATAGCATAGTTTCTTTGCAAAGTGTTTCCTCAAAAGATGTCACATATAAAAACAAAAGTGCAAGATTGGAAAATATAACAAATGCAATCCTTTTCATGCCTGCTTTCTTTAAATAGACTTTCAACATATAATATGATTTATTTGTGAAAACTTTCCCACTCAGTATTTCAAAAGTTCATTATTTGTATAGGACGATATGAAATTTTCTTCTTGAAATGGACTGACAATAACATTACTTGATATGCATTTGTGTTTTGTATGGATCAAATGAATTTGTCTTATCACTGTAATAATTGGAAATGCATGATAGTCTTTCCTATCATGCTGATAAATAACTAGAGTGCAATTATCAAATTTTGTGAAACAGTAATATAGTATAAAATCATAACAAGTTGAGGGCTGATAGAAATTTTGTCTCATCAAAGACTTCTGAGTTTCTCTGTGTTAGAAGGTGCATATTCTAACTGCATATACAGGGTGACATAGAAAACATTGGCAATATTTATAAGATTATACAATAATACAAAAAGTAACACAAAAGGTTCATAGAAACAATAGTTTCAAAATTATCTCTTACTAACAAAAATATTTGCAAAACAAGTTGAAATATAAAATGTTGTGTTAGATACAACAAATATTGTGTCTGAAATTGCACCAAAGGTATATAAACTAGGAAATGTTGATGCTTATAGAAGAAGTTAGTGAAGATTGACATTAAAAATTGTAAATGTAGTGTTATTTGAACAGTTTACAAGTTTTGTCCTTGATCAGTTTCGTGAGTGGCACAAAAATTTACAACACCCAGTATCTTGGTGATGGAATGTTTTATCACATATTTTATGCTTATAAGACCTTTTTTATTTCTAGATATTTCTTTAGCCATTGTTTTTTTAATTACCCTCTATATTCTGTGCTCTCTCTAAATTGTTTACCTTTTTACTTTTTGTAATGGATCTTAGATTCCAAAGTACACCATTTTAAGGATGTTGTTAAAAACACTATTACAATTTATTTTGCTCGCGTTACTTTTTTTTACAAAAGTGTGTCTTATAAATTCATTTCCTCATTCTGGAAGCTCTGTATAATCATTTGAAACAGTAAAAAAAAATAATTAAGCATCTATTTTTAATTTGGTTATCCTTGAGGGGTTTAAAAATATAATGGTGTTTTCTCAAGTAGTATGCATGCCAAAAAAATATTTTAACATACTTATAGAAGAAAAAAATGATACTCTTAGATTGTATTCTTGAAGTTTCGCAAATATTTTTGCAATCTTGGTAGCTTTGTGATTTAGTGAAATTGACATACAGTGAATGTGTGATGTTATGGAATATATGCCTGGGTACCTCCTGCCAGAATATGACAGCAGAACGAATTATTTTCAGCAATGGAACGAACTGTCTCGATGTCAGAAGAGCATCTTTTGCACAATTGCTTTTATACTATTCACGTTTTTGTATGTTTTATGCCGCGGGGAGACAAAAATCACACCCAACCTCCATGAGATCAGCGCCGATACGTTGAAAAATATCGGAAATGATCCTAGGGAGGCAGAGCAAGGTTTCAATGAGGTAGTGAATGAGAACCAAGTGTTGGAGGAACCTGCTGGAGTGGAGGTTGTGAATAGTGGGCAAAAGGATCAGGTTTTGGGACCGCCGAGGGTTGAGCCCAAATTCACAGGTGAGATTGAGAGATTTTTATCTCAAATTACAGTGATATCTGTAGTCTGCGTTGAAATTTACATGAATGTAAAAAATCTAATCCTGCAACAATAGGAGGCAAAGACAATTTTGGGTTGTCTCACAATTTTTGAGGATCAAATTCGCACGCGGCACCTCAAATTCACTGGGTGTACAATCTTGGGAAACAAAAATGGACATTTAGCCCTTAAAACTCCATCATTGTGACAACTGGGAACATCGCTAGAATAACTATGCAAATATGGTTATTTTGTAAAAAGCAATATTTTTCTAAATATCTGTTCAACAAACGAGATTGGAAGTGCTTTTTTATATTGTTTACAACAGGAAATGCACTGTATAGTTATTCATCGCTGACTGAATCTGCTTCCTACATTAGTATATGTTTAGCTGGAAATCCCTAGGATTATTTCTATTTAGATAATATATGTTATTAGATGAAAATTTCACACAACTATTCTCAACCACATCAAATATTTTTCAAATAGATCATTATTCAGTCTTGGTGAATATCATGGACAGTAATATTAGCTTATTAAAAAACGATGTTGTTATCATACCATACCATTTATTGACCACAGTATATATATATATATATATATAACTTGAGACGTGGTCATTGTCGTCTAGACCAGTTAGGTGAAAAATTAAAGCTTCTGCCTTTTGTTGGGTACTTCGACAAAATTTAAGCAAAGAGGACTCTTTATACTTTTTTAATTCTCTCTAGCTTTCAATGGACTTTGCCATCATCATCAGGAGCTGCAATTACAATGATAACAGTAGCAACAAAAGTGTAAAATGAATTTTTTAGGTCATTGATATATATTAGAAATAGCAGGGGACCAAGCACTGATCCCTGCGGTATTCCATTGAAGATAAGCAAAAGATCAGAGCTTACATATTGTGCTTGCTCGGTATTTCTCATAATATTATATATTTTTAAAAAAATATAATAGTTTTTCTGTAGTATACAAATGTAAAAATGATTCGTATCCCCAAAGGTCATCTCCTTCCTCCGTGACAGTTAATTTTCTTACAGGTCCCACAACAGCTAGACAAAGAGCAGTTGTAAACGCCTTTAAGCATGCCTGGAAGGGGTACAAACAGTTTGCTTGGGGCCATGATCATTTGAAGCCGATTTCTGAAGGCTATGAGGACTGGTTCGGCCTGGGACTTAGCATTGTCGACTCGCTCGACACCATCTTTATTATGGGACTTAAAGAAGGTCAATATTTCTTTTACTCGCACATTTGTGAACTATTGTGGAGTGCCTGGAAATATTTGGCAGGCTTTGTAATTGAATAACGTATTCATTTTCAGAATATAGAGAGGCAAGAGACTGGGTGGACAAACACCTTCATTTCAACATCAACAGGGATGTTAACTTATTTGAAGTAACTATAAGGATATTAGGTGGACTACTCAGTATTTATCATTTATCCAAAGATGAGATGTTTCTCACAAAAGCAGTGAGTTTGAACATTATATCATGTGATAATAATTATACTTCTAATCATATTGTATTTTTCAAGTTATACATCAAAGGGTAGACACGAAATGAGAAATAGATACGAGGTTGAAATGAAATACTTCCTCGCCAACTTTTGGCATAGGAAGATAGTTTTACTAAGTAATAAGAGTTGCTTTTAGATAGAAAAGACTGTTTTTATTCAAATGTGGCTTAGATCCTTCATTTTTAAATTAAAAGTCGGTATTTTACGCTATTTTCAGATAGAATTAGGTGATAGGCTTCTTCCATGCTTCGAGTCTGACTCGGGCATCCCGTTCTCTGATATTAACTTGTCTACAAAGAGAGCTCATGCTCCTAAATGGTCTCCAGACAGCTCAACTTCTGAAGTAACTACTATACAGTTGGAGTTCAGAGATTTGAGCGGAGCTACGGGAGATCCAAAATACGAGGTATTTTATTATTATGGAAAAAAGTGTCACAAGATATTACACGTTTATCAGATTTTCGCTGAATTTGGTTATCTCCAAAGCAAGGGCGGATTTAGCAAAAAAAATTTCAAATTTGTTCGGTACATCATATAAATCAAGAGATAAATTGTTACACATGTATATAGTGAACAATCGGAGACGAAAGGCATTAAAACATCCAACTTGGAGTTAGATAATAAACCGCGGCAAGGAGAACCGAAATCAAAACATAACCAGTGATAAGAAACATGTTCTTCTACCTTGTCGGCTATAATTTTACGCAAGATAAAAATAAGAAAATGCATTGCTCCGTCAACACGAAAACTCACAGGACACATATTGTTTATGAATGAAGCCCTTACGCATCTTCTACGATAGCTACGTATGCAACGTATTCAATGCTTGCGGCTTCAGAGCCGCCCGATTAGTCATATTGCATTTTTGCTAAAAATACCTAATAACAAATAATTTTTTAGAGATGTCTGCAAAAATCCGAATGTAAATAGATAGCTCTATATTTTTTAGCAGTCGGTGCCTCCCTTCCCCCTATAAATCCGCCCTCGCTCCAAAGGTTAGAACTGTTGATTCTAACCGCTACTTATCGCTTTTTGGATGTTGATACCTTATAGAAAGATTTGACTAAGTTAGGCAATTGTTTGATAGGAGTTTTTTTTAGAATGCCGTAGACAAGGTGTCGAGACACATCCACAAATTGGAGAAGATGGACGGTTTAGTTCCTATCTTTATCAACGCAAATTCCGGCCAGTTTAGATCTTACGCGACGATCACTTTGGGAGCAAGAGGAGACAGCTATTACGAATATTTACTTAAGCAATGGGTACAGACTGGAAAAGCCATAGATTTGTAAGTAATCGTTTTTGTTGGCTTGTTGAAGATTTATTTATCATTGACGCTACAATGTCAATTTTGTGTATTTTACACATTTTTTTTTAATAAATTTTCTGCAATTTTATATTCCAGTCCATTAAAATTACATCACTAACGATTTTTTAATTTCACCGTCAATATTTTTAAATTCGAATATTGTTAAATATCATCCAATTTATTAAATTTAAATACTTTTGAAATACAGACCTGCTAGTTATGCTACTATTACAATTTTTCATTATTATGATAATGACTATTTAATTTTTCTAAATGTAGTGGTAATAAATTATTGTTTAATTTGAATATTAAAAGGAGAACTAGATAACATATTTTTCCGATTTTTTTTTCGGCTTGTCGATACGTTTAAGTAGAAAGCGATGCCGTTTTTGAAACTAGAAACTCGGCGCTTTACGAGGTACGAGTTCGAAAAACGATCGAAAAATGCGGTTAAAGTCGAAAATACGATGTTTTTTGCGTAGGACGAAGACCTTGGAAGCCTGCATTTCGACCTTTATCAAAATAACGACTCGAGATCGGTCTCATTCGATAGCTTATTGATGAGCGGGTTCTATAGCGAAGGCCTTTTTTTAAACCGCATCTTAGCTTTTTTCTATGAATTTTCAAAGAAAAAACGAGAAAAACTACAAATTTTCGTTAAAAATCAGTTTTGTAGATCTAGACGAATAAAACAGTTTCAAACGTTGAGAAATTAGCTTTTTTGGGTCTCAAATACGCTCTTCGATATTGAATTTCTAACTCCTCCGAAGATAATGGAGCTACGGACCTAGCGATTTTTGCATGTGAAAGCCCATACATCGGACATTTGGAACGTGCCTTTTTTATTTCTGTATTCCTTCTAAGTTTCGATTTTTTAAAATTTCTTGACAAAATGCTACTTTTCGAAATATGACCCTCTTTGGTTTCGATTTTTTTATACTTTCGATTGAACATCTGCAAAGCGTTTTTATGCTTTCTTAAGCGTACTTCGTATGTTTTTTTTTAGTTTTTGAGAAAAATGTAAAATATCGTAAACATTTATTATTAGTTTCGGTTTAACAGCACACTCCTATCGCAAGATTCATTACCACTGTTAGAGGGGGGTATTGTAGGTATATAAATATTACAAAGCCAAGTACGTGTTAGCGGATCGTCTAAAACGTGCCATTTTCGGCTGCATGACGATTGTTTCATCCAGTACTGGACCATACCGAATAGCATTGTCCTTTTTTGGACTCGAAAATAGACATTTTTGAATATATTTCGAACTTTGAGAATGTCTAAAACTACCGAGCTATAACCAAGCACAACTTGGCAACGTTGCAATTGAATTGCCACAACTAATGGAATACTGTTAGGCGGGGTATTGTAGGTATGAAAATTTACAACAGCAAGTACGTGTTAGCGGGTCATCTAAAACGTGCCATTTTCAGCTTCATGACGATTATTTCATCCAGTACTGGAAAATACCGAATAGCATTGTCCTTTTTTGGACTCGAAAATAGACATTTTTGAATATATTTCGAACTTTGAGAATGTCTAAAACTACCGAGCTATAACCAAGCACAACTTGGCAACGTTGCAATTGAATTGCCACAACTAATGGAATACTGTTAGGCGGGGTATTGTAGGTATGAAAATTTACAACAGCAAGTACGTGTTAGCGGGTCATCTAAAACGTGCCATTTTCAGCTTCATGACGATTATTTCATCCAGTACTGGAAAATACCGAATAGCATTGTCCTTTTTTGGACTCGAAAATATACATTTTTGTATATTCCGAACTTTGAGAATGTCTAAAACGATCGAGCTATAACCAAGCACAACTTGGCAACGTTGCAATTGAATTGCCACAACTAATGGCATACTGTTAGGCGGGGTATTGTAGGTATGAAAATTTACAACAGCAAGTACAAGTTAGCGGATCGTGTAAGACGTGTCATTTTCGGCTTCATGACAATCGTTTCATGCAATATTGAATTATACCGAATAGCAATGCCATTTTTTGGACGGGAAACTAAACATTTTTGAATATATTCCGAACTTTGAGAATGTCTAAAACTACCGAGCTATAACCAAGCACAACTTGGCAACGTTGCAATTGGATTGCCACAACTAATGGATACTGTTAGACGGGGTATTGTAGGTATGAAAATTTACAACAGCAAGTGCGAGTTAGCGGATCGTCTCATTTTCGGCTTCATGACAATCGTTTTATCCAATACTGGATTATACCGAATAGCATTGCCATTTTTTGGACTGGAAACTAAACATTTTCGAATGTATGCCGAACTTTAAGAATGTCTAAAACTACTGAGCTATAACCAAGCACAACTTGGCAACGTTGCAATTGAATTGCCACAACTAATGGAATACTGTTAGGCGGGGTATTGTAGGTATGAAAATTTACAACAGCAGGTGCGAGTTTGGATTATACCGAAAAGGATTTAAGAATGTCTAAAACTACCGAGCTATAACCAAGCACAACTTGGCAACGTTACAGTTTTGCAGTTATATTAACACCATCGAATGGAATACTCGAAATTGTGTAATTCTCAGTGTAGTGTATTTATGGTGGAAATATGATGACAAGCCTTAATTGGTGTCATAATTTTATATCACCGTGAATAAAGATCTATCCAAAACACATCAGAGATCCACAAATGCATTATGAAAATGTAAAATTACAGAAAATTGATTCAAAAACAAAACAAACTGGTACATAACATTCACACTTTTAAAAAACAACACTAAAAATACGAGTTTAATGACCGAACTGTCAAAAAATCGACTTAGGTCAAGTCAGCTTTGATCATCCCTACAGAGACTATGAGAATTAAGAGCCAAATAAATCCTTCCTAGTCTGAATTCTTTGACAGAGACAGAAGACAAACAGATTCATTTGAGCCTGTCTCTTCATTATTTCCTTTCCAGCTTAAAGAATGATTACGTGGAGAGCGTCGAAGGCATAGAAAAGCACCTGGTGCGTCGGACGGTACCGAACGGGTTCTTGTTCATAGGCGAGCTTCTCACAGGCGGCAAAGACTTTAAACCAAAGATGGACCATCTGACATGCTACCTGCCGGGCACTTTGATGTTAGGTGCGCACAACGGTCTTCCTAACGGTCACAGGAAACTCGCAGAGGAATTGCTCACCACTTGCTATCAGACGTACGCGCAACAGCCGACGTTTTTGGCGCCTGAGATCACTTACTTTAACATACAGGTGCGTATAAATAGAATAAATAGAATACGTCGTCACCTTAGTGTCATAAATTTCCAAATTTTGCTTTTATATTTTATATGCGTATTAACGGTGGTCACGAGCGCTGCAGAAGTATCTACGCTGACGGAATATGCCCAAAATGACCGATTAAAAATTCAGTCACTGTTGCGCAGAACCGTTTTATCTGCGGAAAGGAGCACATAGAATACAAAAATTATTTATAAAAACAATGCATAATGAACTTTATCATATTCCTCCGAATCGCTGTTTATAGAATCAAAACTTTTCATTAAAAAAAAAGTATTTTGGTATAATGTTAGAATTCCATAAAACAGACATTCGACCATTTAGAAAAATAATGTATATGATACTAGAAATAAAAATAAACAAATAATTATTGCAACACCAATAAAGGAAATAATGATGAAATCATTTGGATACTTAGATCCAAAATTATATCTTAACTTACCAAAGTATATTAGAAAAAAACCGTATATCATTATTAAAAGCAGGTTTACGAGCGGCTATTGAATACTGATATAAGCATGATGTAATTTATTCTAACATTAAAATATCTTTTCCTCATTACTAATCTATAATACAAAATTAAATTACATTTATATTATAAAAATTTTTTCTAGTCCTTATCAATCAATAATTTATAACTACTGTGTTATATATTATGTATATGTGTTAGAATGATATTCAAACACAAAGATTTTTCTTTTGCGGCATATTAATTTATTCACAATTTATAATTTATGTGAGTAAATATTATTATTGGAAGGTATGAGTAGCTATCTATGATTTTCTTCTAGGGTGAAAATTCTAACGATATGTACGTAAAAACCAACGATGCGCACAATCTCTTAAGGCCTGAATTTATAGAAAGTCTGTGGTACATGTACCAGTTTACCGGCAATACTACTTACCAGGATTGGGGATGGCAGATATTCCAGGTAACTCACCTTTTTGTTTGAATCACTAACTTATTCTGCTAGAAGATACCTAACCCTATGATGTACTTTGAAGTTCTCATACAATTTCCATCGTTACAGCGATGCTGCTAAGTAGGACCGCAATAATTGTTTAAATATTTATAAAAAGAGATGTATATTACTTTCATTTTTGTCTTAATTTCATTTATATCTATTGTGTATTTATGTTTCAATTTAATCATTTATATAGACTAACAATAGGATCGGACCTGTTGCTGATCCTTGAGGTACCCCTGCGTTTATATTTAATTTAAGCGAATTCAGTGGAGTTCCAGTACAACCAAATTCGTTTAATTTTTTTAATAGCATATCATAATTTACACAGTCAAAAGCTTTGGAAAAGTCGCAAACAAGAGCTATTGAAATTTGTTTATATATTATATATAATACTGTTGAATTAATATGAAGATTACATGTTTTTCGAAATCCAAATTGGTTATCACTTGTTATTTGAACTATTTTTTCTATTATCTTTGTTATAACATATACACAAATGAAAAAATAACATTTTACAGGGAAGACATTGTTTAAATGTGTGATCCACAAGCTTTTTTGCTTAGTAAAATCGAGCCTTGATGGTTGTTTTTTTTTTAGGGTTTCGAAAACTATACGAAGGTCGTAAACGGCTACACCTCGATAGGTAACGTTCGCAACCCTCAAAACGTGCGACCAAAGGACAAGATGGAGTCGTTCTTCTTAAGCGAAACCTTAAAGTATCTCTATCTGCTGTTCAGTGACGATCCGAAACTGTTGGATCTCGACAAATATGTGATAAACTCTGAAGCACACCCGCTGCCCATACAAAATGTTTAGGAAACTTACAATGCGATGAAAGATGTCTAGTCTCTGTTTGTTGTGTGCTTGATAGACAAGTGAGGGTTTATTTAAAGTCATGGGACATTTTTGCTGAAAATCGTTTGTAAATGGTCGAAAGATTTGTAGTAAAACTACAAGAAAACGGTTTGTCGGAGATAACGTGGAGTGATCGACAACATAATTACCTAAAAAAACTCTTCTTTTAGTTGTGACATCAGGTTTAGCTGAAGTTCAGTTTAGCGTCAGATCAAATAAAACATGGATTATGTTAAAAAAAGTTTTGGCAAAGCTCCAATCACGGGTTTTCAGGATTTTCAACATTTTCAAGAAAGTTCTCAAACTTTGAAAATCTTAAAGTCTGGGAATTGAAAATATTACAAATTTTCGAAATTTTGCAAATTTTCAAAATATTGAAAGTTTTTTAAATCCTCAAACTTTCGGAAACCAAGGGTTCTGAAAATTGTTAAAAATAGAAATTTCAAAATTTTTAAGATTCGATAATTTTGTAAAATCCTGAATGTTTTGAAAATATTGAGAATTCTAAAAATTATGAAAATCAATATTTTGGTAAAATTTTATATTAGATAATTTTGAAAAATCCTGTAGGTTTGAAAATTATGGAAACTAGAAATTCAAAAAAAAATTATTATCGAAGTTTTGAAAAAAAAGATTTGCTATTTTTAAAAAATCCTTGATCAAGTTTTGTAAATTTTGAAAATATTGAAAATTTTTGAAAAATTCTATGATGTAGTGACAATTTTGAAAAATTATGAGTCTTGTAAATTTTGGAAACTGATGGTTCTGAAAATTTTGAAAATTGAAGCTTTGGAAAAATTTGAAGATTTGAAAATTTTGGTAAATTCTTGAACCATTAAGAATTTTGGTAATCTTGGAAAATGTAGAAAATTTTGAGAATTGAAATTTTGGCAAAATTTAAGGATTTCCAATTTTAAAAATCCTGTACAGGAAAATTTTGATAATCGACGTTTTGGAAAAATTGGAAGATTCGATCATTTTAAGAAATCCTGAAAAATTATAAATATTGTAAATTTCGAGAATATTGGATATTGGAGTCTTGGACAAAATTGAAGATTTGAAAATATTGAAATATCTTGATACCATTGAAAAGTTTGTGAATTATGAAAATTGAAATTTTAGAAGAGTTTGAAGATCTTACGACTTATAAATGTCTCATGATTTTTTCTTGAACTCCATGTATATGTGTACATAATATGTGATCTTAGAACCTGATAAATCTTCACCCGTAATATTGCTTTTGACTTTGTTGCACGTTAACAATCATTTGGATTGAGTTATGAACCTAGAAAAACGTAATAGTAAATGAAAAAACTCGTTTTATTTCATTATTACGTAACTTAAAACGTTTCATATGTCAAGCCTTGAGGTAAGTCACTATAATTCCAAATCATAAAATGATATGAAAGTGTCGAAATTTTAAGCTTCACAAAGTGCTTACTTATTGAAAATATGGAATTTTGAAAAATTCATTTCTACTGTTTTTTTTTTGTACTTTTATGGAATGTTTTTTTGATATCTTAAGCGTGTATAGTAGAATGAATCTTCATCTCAACTAAATAATTTTAACTTTTAACCTAATTTCGATCTCTCATATTGAGAGGGAAAGAAATGATAAAAACCGAAACATCTCACAAACGAGTTTTATACAATTCTATCAAATTTTACCTTCATAGCAATACATTTTTCACCTAATTTTTTAATGTTTTTTCAACATACGCATGGTTTTAAATCAATATACAACATCTGTTTTTTTTTGTGAAGGTGCTAGAACTGTATAATTTTGTACAACAGGAACTCCACATATTATTTTGAGCACAATTAGAAAAATTTGTTAATTATACATTTGATGAATAAAAACAAACGTGTTATTGGTTAATGGTTGTTTCTTTTCTATTACCCTTTGCAATCACCTCCAAAACATTATAGACAAAAAAAAATGTACAACTGGTCAATTAGCAGTCCAAAAATTTACAGGCAACTAAAAAATTCCCAAATCACAATTTTTTCAACGAACGTATGAATTAATTCTACTTGCTTTCAAAATCAAAATACGAATGCCCCACATTTCAGTTGTGCTTTTTATAATCCTGCATATTCGGAATATGCAAACCGTAAAAGTATCAGATTTACTGAAATCTGCACGATTGCGACGTTGCCATGTTCGTCTGTCGTTGCGCGCTATATATACTATATCTAGTTGGCCATGATTTATCTGTTATCCCAGGTGGCCATGGTTTGGTGGCTGTCTGACAAACGCAAAAATGTCACTTTCAAATCTGATCGGAACGACAGATCGACATTATTCAAGAAAGTGTATATTTTAAATTGGAAACTCAAAAAAATTATAGCGTTTGTAAACGGGGAGGATTCTGGTAAAAATATTTATTATACATGTCAATTATACAAAATATGGTTATGTTAGGATGTTTACAAGGCAAAAGCATAAAACGTGTTTTTAATAAATTGATTATACTGAAATTTTGATACAATATTGTCACCGTACGAAGAACGCATAAGGTTTGAATATCAAAATACCAATGTACTGTTGACATCTATCTGTATTTCTGATGCCTGATGTTTATACCGGTAATTGGTTTAGAAAATAAAAACATTGCAATTGGTTGCAGTCCATAGTGCACAATTTAAACGATACAATTCGATATTATCGTGCGGGATAAACTGGCAAGGTCAGCAATGTGAACAGTGGCGTAGCACAAATCGAGCTTGTTACATTTAGATACTTTAGAAAAATCAAGAGGCACGCTAAACGTTCAACTCCCTAGGTGTACAAGTTTCAGTTGCTTGTAAAATGGGGTAGTCAACCACGTAGTGTATTTCGACGTCAAGCAGGTTGACTCTGCACTTCTCACACACCACGGTCATCAGTTCTTAAAAAAATTAAGTTCAGCACAAGTCAAACCCTCTCAGAAAGAAGATAGTTACGAATATGTACAACAGGGCGATTAACGGGATCAGGTCAGTCAAACTGGCTTATAGAATTGAATCAGTCAATGCAAAAACCTTGTAAAAGTCCCATTATTTGAGTTTCTCAGGAGGCCGTAAAAACAGGGTCACTGACGAATAGATCATTTTTAAATAAGTATTTTTCTGCGCTTAATGTTGTATTTGAGTTCCAAATTGAAATAACCTTCACAGTTTAACAATAATAATGGAAAAGTCGTAGAAAATTTATGGACTTGCTCAGCAGGAAATATGGTTACTGACATTTTTAAACTAAACATGATGCTTTCGTTGTCCAGACAACCATGGACAGCTGTTTTGTACTTTTTGGCTACTACATGACGCTTTGCACTATATCCTGTTTCGAGTTTGTTCACTGCCTGTTATTAAAAATTACTCTTAAAGGTGAACTTATTTATTAACAGGCCATATGTTTCTTATACACACTCGTTTATATTCCTTAAGTGATTACTTGTTAGGTATATGATTTTCTTCTGCAAATTGCAATGGTAGCATAACTAGCAAGTTTATATTTCAAAAGAGTGTATTAAAATCAATAATAAAATATAAAGTGTTCGAATTTAAAGATGTTTAAGGTGAAATTAAGAAAGCTCTTTATGAATACCCAAAATGCATAGTGATTTAAAATTTTAATAGACAAGAATGTAAAAATAATAGAAAATTTATTAGAATTATACAAAATTGACATTGTAGCAATAAAGCTAAATAAATCTCCAAAAAATAGACAAAGTCCTATGATATTAGTACGCCACTGCCTTTTATGCTTTTACAGCAGTTCTTACATAATGTACATTTCAAACAGCGATCCATTCATATCCATTTTCTCTACAATAAATGAGCTGGTTGCATGCAAAATTATTTCCGATGCAGGTGATAAAACAAAATATCAATATAAATAGTTTTATTTAAAAAAAATATTAAAATTGCACTATACTATAAATGAATATAACGTAGGAAAGATAGGTTAATAAACGTAAGTGATACATATGGCATTTTATATGTATGTAATCAGATATAGGATACGTAGGTTTTTTTACTTGAGATCAGTCTCTCAACTTTCAATTTGCAGAGAGCATTCAACTTTCGATTATACGAAACGCACTCTTGCGGATTTTCGAAACAATGCATAAATTACATTATTTACAATTTCATGTGCATATACAGCGACTGAAAAAATCGTATAATAGAATCAGAACCATCCAAAAGACAACACAGTTGATACAGAATTTTGGACATACGTCAAAAATGAACAAACCACAAAATTACACCCTTGACAATTTTATTGCATACAAAAGATATCAATAGTGCACAGGATTTGTAAATTTGGAAGCACAATGTCTCAATCTTCACATTGTAAAACCGAGAAAATTTTGTGTGACCCAACTAGCGCATACCTTTTCAGACACTGTTCATACACATAAAAACAATATCAATTTCATGAAACTTGGGTAAATATATCTTGAAACAAAATTGTTTCAAATGTCTCTCAACATAGTTTTAGGCAGGAAAAAATCCCCAATTTCATTAAATGATCCACAAAATTTGTTATACGAGTTTCCCCGATTTTCAAGGCACAAATATACATAATGGATGCCCAAATTATTAATCCCTGATAGATATTCGGTGTATTTTCACAGTATATTTTCTCTCCTCTAGAAAAGCTGGGGTATTTCTAGATCTCACTGTTCGTGTCAGCGCCAGCGCTCGCCAATTGTGAGGTTATGAAATTTCAGATACATAAAACAGATGATAAAAGTCATGTTTTGTCAGCCTGACAATACGAAAAGAAAATATAACCTCAAAATAGGGTTACACGAAAAAGTTGAAGTCTATAAATATCCTGCTTTTCTGAATGCCAAGAAAAACTACGAAAATCAAGCCATAAAAACTCAAAACTGAGAATTATTCATATCGGTTTTTCAACCTATTTTTAGAGATTAATAAATCGGTCATCAGTGTCAACACGGAAAAGGAAAAATTGTTTCAGCTAGCTCATAAGTGAATTCGATCAAGAAACTTTACGATTAAAAAATCAAAATTTCGGAAATTACACAGAAAATTACGTTTTCGGGCTTGTATAAAAATAAGTAGCTTTATCAGTTTACCGTTATTCTAAGTAATTTTATCTCCTCAGGTTAGGCGAAATTGGAAAGTGGCAACCCAAACCACAGCACAAAATTTCGTTCGTTCGTTCGTCTAAAGATTTTTTGGCTTCGAGGCAAACCTTCGACATCCCTCAAAGACAGCACTGCGTGGTTGCCACTCGTTCCAATTTTCCCTACTAATGGGAAATAACCGACCGTTTTTGCTGCACCAGCGTGTACATTCATCTGTACACTTTCTGAAATAAATACCACATGGAAAGCAATTAGAAGAAGGGAAAACCTCGCATTCATGAAAAACATTTTCCAACGCGATTTCTTTCATAATTTCGTTTGTTGGCTGCCCCTGAATCAACAGGTTGACAGGAACTGAAGGTCGATTTATAAGCTCTGACGATCCGCAAAACTGCTAAACTGTTTATTAACAGGAATTCCATAACCTTCGTCCGCAACGTTGACGCTTGACTTGTCGAAGTTTTAATTTTCTGCCATTGCCATTTCTGATTCAACCAATAAAAAGGAAGCCAGCAAATCATGAGTTTGTTGCCGCAGATCAGCTGGAAAAAAACAAACACAAAAGTGAGGTTAGCTGGCACCTCTTGTCGACTGACAACCAGCAAGTTTGGTATTCAACATGTGAAAAAGAATGCAATTTTAGTTTAGGTTATGCGCCGTAAATTGTTTTTAACGGCCTCAGAGTTTATAAAGCGACCTACCGTAGCCGTAACACAGATCTTGAATTATGCGCGTGTCCTTAAACTGTTTATAGACAGGGATTTCGCAACGCTGACGCTAGACTTGACGAAGTTTTAACTTCCCGCCGATGCCGTTCTCGATTTAGCCAATGAAAAGGAGCCTGCAACTCACGTGTTTGTCGCCACAGATCAGTTGGAAAAAACAATCACAAAAGTGAGGTTAGCTGGCACCTCTTGTCGACTGACAACCAGCAAGTTTCTTATTCAACATGTGAAAAAGAATGCAATTTTAGGTTAGGTTATGCGCCGTAAATTGTTTTTAACTGCCTAAGAGTTTATAAATCGTCCTTCCATAGCCGTAACACAGATCTTGAATTATGCGCGTGTCGCTAAACTGTTTATAAACAGGGATTCCGTAACGCTGACGCTAGATTTGACGAAGTTTTAGCTTTCCGCCGATGCCGTTCTCGATTTAGTTAATGAAAAGGAGCCTGCAACTCACGTGTTTGTCGCCACAGATCAGCTGGAAAAAACAATCACAAAAGTGAGGTTAGCTGGCACCTCTTGTCGACTGTCAATCAGCAAGTTTGGTCTTCAACATCAACATGTGAAAACTAATGCAATTTTAGGTTAGGTTATGCGCCATAAATTGTTTTTAACTGCCTAAGAGTTTATAAATCGTCCTACCACAGCCGTAACACAGATTCTGAATCATGCGCGTGTCCTTAAACTGTTTATAAACAGGGATTCCGCAACGCTGACGCTAGACTTGACAAGATTTAGCTTTCCGCCGATGCCGTTCTCGATTTAGCCAATGAAAAGGAGCCTGCAACTCACGTGTTTGTCGCCACAGATCAGCTGGAAAAAACAATCACAAAAGTGAGGTTAGCTGGCACCTCTTGTCGACTCTCAATCAGCAAGTTTGGTCTTCAACATCAACATGTGAAAAATAATGCAATTTTAGGTTAGGTTATGCGCCATAAATTGTTTTTAACTGCCTAACAGTTTATAAATCGTCCTACCACAGCCGTAACACAGATTCTGAATCATGCGCGTGTCGTTAAACTGTTTATAAACAGGGATTTCGCAACGTTGACGCTAGACTTGAAGAAGGTTTAGCTTTTCGCCGATGCCGTTCTCGATTCAGCCAATGAAAAGGAGCCTGCAACTCACGTGTTTGTTGCCACAGATCAGCTGGAAAAAACAATCACAAAAGTGAGGTTAGCTGGCACCTCTTGTCGACTGTCAATCAGCAAGTTTGGTCTTCAACATCAACATGTGAAAAATAATGCAATTTTAGGTTAGGTTATGCGCCGTAAATTGTTTTTAACTGCCTCAGGGTTTATAAATCGTCCTTCCATAGCCGTAACACAGATTCTGAATCATGCGCGTGTCCTTAAACTGTTTATAAACAGGGATTCCGCAACGCTGACGCTAGACTTAACAAGATATAGCTTTCCGCCGATGCCGTTCTCGATTTAGCCAATGAAAAGGAGCCTGCAACTCACGTGTTTGTCGCCACAGATCAGCTGGAAAAAACAATCACAAAAGTGAGGTTAGCTGGCACCTCTTGTCGACTGTCAATCAGCAAGTTTGGTCTTCAACATCATCTTGTGAAAAAGAATGCAATTTAAGGTTAGGTTATGCGCCATAAATTGTTTTTTAACTGCCTAAGAGTTTATAAATCGACCTACTGTAGCCGTAACATAGATTCTGAATCATGCGCGTGTCGTTAAACTGTTTATAAACAGGGATTTCGCAACGCTGACGCTAGACTTGACGAAGATTTAGCTTTCCGCCGATACCGTTCTCGATTTAGCCAATGAAAAGGAGCCTGCAAGTCACGTGTTTGTTGCCACATATCAGCTGGAAAAAAACAATCACAAAAGTGAGGTTAGCTGGCACCTCTTGTCGACTGTCAATCAGCAAGTTTGGTCTTCAAACATCAACATGTGAAAAATAATGCAATTTTAGGTTAGGTTATGTGCCGTAAATTGTTTTTAACTGCCTCAGGGTTTATAAATCGACCTACCGTAGCCGTAACTCAACTTAAATCATGCGCGTGTCGTTGAACTGTTTATAAACAGTAACTCCGCAACGTTCGTCCGCAACGCTGACGCTACACTTCAAGTTTGAACTTAACAAATAGGTTTAAACAATATTTCTGATTCCTGTTATGTGCATTTCAAAAAAAATCCTCCGACGAATGCGAGGTGTCCGCCTCGTCTGGATGAGTATCCTCATATCAGTCTGTCTCACTTTTTAATGCTAAAGATAATACTATCACAATTACACTATGACGCACTCACAGCACTGCATCGTATAGTACAGGCATTTTATAGTACAGTTCTCGTCGTCTTCTTCTTGGGGTTTTTTCCGGGCGTCTGGCATCCAGACCCCGTCTAGTTTGTCGAGGTCTCCGTTCATTTTTCGCCTATCGTTGTCATTGTCTTTACCATTACGGTTTGCCTACAACAAAGCATAGAAAGTTAACCCTCCTTTTGTATAATTTTTTGTAATTAATCGGATTTAGAGTCGAAAGGAACACAGTTGAAAGTCAGTAAAATGTATTTGCTTTATTTATCAATTTAAAGTGTCAGCTTCTTTGGTAAATCAACTCTGTTTCACGACGTAGATGAGCAAGCTAAAGTAGGAAATATAAAAACTTGTTTAGATCTTGCAACTGATAAAAAGTGATTTGCTCGACAAAAAATGCACCCTGGTATAACAAGAATATTAAGGCAGCTCAAAATTTGAGAGACAAACAATACAATAAATGTGTATTCACAAAATCAAATGATGTTTGGGAGGTATATAAAACTCTTAGGAATAAATGTGTATATGTAAGAAGATAAGAAAAAAGGAAACAAATCGATAATAACAAGTGCGATGTGGAAGACTTTAAAAAGACTGATCAATTCGAAGCCGCATGATTGCGTAAATCAAGTTCAATTCGAAAACGGTACCGAAACAGATTCTTTGGTGATTGCAAACAAACTAAATGAATATTTTGTGGAAAGTATTGTTGATATTGTGGGTAGTGCCAATGCTGCACCTGACTATATGAAAATCAGTTTCCAGGGGGAAATGTTGCATACACTTTCAAACTTTCACAGCGTATCATTGAATTATCTAAGAAAAAAAGTAAACAGTTTAAAATCAAGTAACAACTGTGCCGAAATCACTACTAAAAACGTGCTCAAAAACCGTTTCGAAAATTTTGGGATATCCTGTATTAAATTGGATCAATTGTTCACTGAGAAGCAGTTCTTTTCCTGAAAATTCGAAATGCTCTACAATAACACCAGTTCCCAAAATAAAAAATTCTAAAAGATGCAGCGATATGAGACCAGTAAATGTGTTACCAGACATTGAAAAATTATTAGAGTCCATAGTGCATGACCAATTAATGCAATTTATAGAAGAAAACAAAATTTTTGTGGAGGCGCAAGCAGGCTTTCGAAACAAATATTCCACAGAAACGGCTTTCCAGTTGGTAACTGAAAATTGGAGAATAGCCATAGACTCAGAAGAAGTTGTCATAGCAGTATTTTTGGATTTGAAGAGAGCATTTGAAACGATTGATAGAGATATTTTATTAGGTAAATTGAAGGCATATGCTATAACAGGAAGTGTTTTAGATTGGTTTAGAAGTTATTTGTCTAAAAGGATGCAAGTTACAAAAGTTAATGACACCATTTCATCAAAAATTGAAAATACGTTGGGTGTTCCACAGGGCAGTATCCTGGGACCACTTCTTTTTATTTTATACATAAATGATTTACCTGCCATAGTCAAAAAATGTAAAATTCAGATTTTCGCCGATGACACTATGATTTATATAAGTACTAAAAAGATTCAGTCTGGTATCTCTTATATAAATGAAGACTTGAAACTTGTCTCAAAATAGTTAGCATCTAACAGACTAAAATTGAATACAAGTAAAACGAAAGCCTTGTTAATCGGAAAAAACAATGTACAAATGTTCAACTGAATATTGATGGTGAAGATATTGAATTAGGAGAAAATTTTAAATACCTGGGGGTTTTTGTTGACTCTCGATTAATTTTTGATATTCATGATGAAAAAGTTATAAATAAGATTAGTAGTAAAGTGGGATATTTATCGAGAGTTTCTAGATGTCTGAGTTCATATAGCAGAAAAATTATCTATAATACCATCATTCTTCCAAATTTCTTGTACTGTTCGACTATTCTATATTTAGCAAATAATTCCATTTTTGAAAGACTGCAAATTTTATAAAATAAGTGCATGCGAATAATATTAAATAAAGATAAATATACTCCAATTAGGCAAATGCTTAGCAAATTAAAATGGCTCAGTGTAAAAAAATTTATCAAATATCTATATATATAAAGTAAAAAATAATATATTTCCATCAAGTCTAACTAATTTAACATCATCAAATGTCGACCATCATTTGCATAATACCAGAAATAAAGATGACTTCCATTTAATGACCAAAAAGTATAACATATGCTACAAATCTGTATTCCATCAATTGTTGATTGAATATAATAAATTATACTCAGAGATAAAAGACCAGAAAACTTTGACAAAATTTAAAGTAAAATTGAGAAATCACTTGTTAAATCTACAATTATAGGTTGCCCAGCATTTACATCATACACCATATGGCTTGAATTTACTAGTTCTAAGTTGTTTACAATTATTCTGTTTATGTAGCCAAATGTGCTAAATAAATCTTTCTACTACTACTACTAAAAATTGTCGCTAGTTTAGCCAAAGAAAGTCCATCAGCTCACGTTAAACACTACATCCCATCGAAAGAAGAACTTTCTGGTAAACTTTATGGTAAGTCTGATGAATAAATTTGATTCAATCAACCGGTTATATTTCCTATGATGTGACCCTATCTCCCTATCATAATATATCTTCCTATTTAACGTACCTCATCCGCCCTGACAGTTTTATCCTGCTCCTGGTTGTACGATCCATCAGGAGAGGGATTATTCAGTATCGGCGAGCACATCAACGCCTTTTCTTCTTCTTCCTTATCCTTGTCAGGCTCGACGAGTACCGAGGCCTGCACAACGCCCGCGTTTGGAGCGATCGCCGTATCCTTGGAGGTCGTCGGACCTGGAGACTGTCTCCCGCTGCCTTCCCTGAAGTCGAAGATCTCGTTTCGGTGGGAATTCGGGGAATCGCCCGACATTATTGACCTGAAAAGAAGAGAAAATTGTGCTTAAATCGAATGGAACAGTGACAGACTTTGTCACTAGCTTCAAGACTGTCTCAGGTTAAGGGTAACAACGCACGAGCCGCGCACCGCGGCGGGTGGCGGATGAGCGGTACCGCGGGGAAGTGCGGATGCGGATTGCTTTACGGAAACCGTCGCGGATGGCTCCGGGTTCGCCGCGTCCGATGCCGGCGTCCGCTCATCCGCGTGGTTACGCGGTTGCCAGTGAGTTGTCTGCCAATTATTCCTATACTACAACTATTTAAAACTGTAATGACTCATACGCGTGATCAACACGTGATCAGAGCTCGATCCCGGCTTCCTTCCAGTACAACCGTATAGCGTACGACATATGTCGTTTCTGTGGCTTTGCGGTGGTCAACAGCACAGACAGAGATGGAAATAATGGCTGATTGTTCTCCGCCGGTAGAACCAATGAAATCAAAGACGCGCCTCGACCGGCAGACTCATAGGCGTCGGCAACGCATTGGAACGTGTTTCGTTGAGCGATCGCATATTGTGTGTTTTTATAAGAATTGTTGTGTGAGTGTTATTGTTGTGGTTTCTGTGGTTACTGTTTTCGTTATACTTAACCATGGAGAGTACAAATGGCACGAGTGGAAGTACTGAAAGCCAGGGAACAAGTAGACGGCTTCGTAAAGCACTGAAGAGGGACGCGAAAGAAATCGTGCTCAACGTGTTCAATTATCTGAACAGAACTATGTCGCAGGGAGATGCACTCGCGCGTTGTGAAAGTATGACAGGCGTTCCAGAGTGGACCATTCGCAGGGTGGTGCATAAAAAGAAGAAAACTGGAGCTACTACTGATCCAAAGTTTAATTTGAAGGGACGAAAGGCCGTTAAATTGGATGACGATAGCAAAATGGCGTTAAGGCGAACCGTACATTCATTCTTCTTTAGGAATGAGATACCAACCCTCAAGGCTGTACATGCAGCGATCAAGGAAAATGAAATTATACCCCAAATGAGCGTCGAGGTAATGAGGAAATCCCTGCACGAAATTAATTTTCGTTACAAAACGCGTAATCGGAAGTCAGTATTGATAGAGAGACCTGAAATAGTCGCCTGGCGTCGAAAATACTCGTACCTACGCGAAATGATTGAATATAGGCGACAAAGCAGAAAAATCTATTATTTGGACGAGACATGGGTAAATGCAGGTCACGCAGTTAAAAAAACCTGGATAGATAAAAACGTAGTGAGTAACCAACAAGCAAGCATTGAAGGTTTGTCAACAGGTCTTCGTGGAGCGTCAGGGAAAGGTCAAAGATTGATCGTAACTCATATTGGTAGCGATAGTGGCTTTTTAGAAGAGTGTGACTTGATTTTCGACTCTAAGAAAGGAGGTGATTACCATGACGAAATGAGTGCCAGCTGCTTCGAGAGCTGGTTTCAAGAGGTGCTTCAGCGAGTTGAGCCCAACTCTGTGATCGTCATGGATAATGCTTCCTACCATAGTCGTCGAGCCGAACGTGTACCGACTATGGGATCTCGAAAAAGTGACATGCAGCAATGGTTGCGCGAAAAAGGAATCCCGTTTGACGATTCATGTGTGAAAGCGGAATTGTATGAAAAAATTAAACAGCACAAACCTGCGAACATTAGTTACGTGACTGATGAGATGACCCGTCAATGTGGTGTCACTGTGCTGCGATCGGTTACCGCCCTACCACTGTGAACTGAACCCAATAGAGCTCATCTGGGCTCAAGTGAAGGGTTATATTGCGCGCCATAACACAACCTTCAAATTATCAGACGTTAAGGTGTTACTTGAGACTTCCATACAGCTAGTAACGCCCGAAGCTTGGCAGAATGCTATCCGTCATGTTGTGAAGGAAGAAACAAAAATGTGGCAGCTTGACCACCACATCGACACCATCATAGAGCCAGTTATAGTCAATTTCAACGAGGAAAGCGATAGCGACAGTTTATTACTGTCAGATGTAAGTGGAAGCGACGATGAATAAAGGTAATTCCCAAATTTTTGACTTACAATATGTTTCAAACCACTCTTTATTAAGCATGTGACAAATCTAGTTCACCCATGTTAAACATTCATACCCCGCCTATGAACAGCCGACTACTGGTAGTTAAGTGATGTTCACGTGAACATCGATGAGTCATTACAGTTTTAGATAGTTATAGTATACACAAACTAACATCCGCGTGACCGCCATCCGCCGCGGTTCGCGGCTCGTGCGTTGTTACCCTTAGTCGCTGTTGGTAGAGATGGCCGATAACGTTATTTTTGAACATCTGTGACATCTGATATCAGTGATTTTCATGGAATTCCATATCGAAACCATATCACTCCTTATCTGAATAACTACAACATATTTAACATGACGAATCGCAGAAAATATCACATGTATTCTTTTATCTATAGGGTTATAAAAACAGGTCAACCGCCCTATTTAAGAGAAAGATTTGTGCCGTTGCCTGGTCCCTAGACAAGCAGAAATAATCTCAATTTTATCGTATCTAGGCGTAGAACGCGTTCCTTCCGACGATCGTTTGCCTATGTGGCGGTTCACTTATGGAATAATTTACGAACTTCAGTTAAAAGTTCATCGTCAAAAATATTCTCAAAACTGACAAAAACGTTGTTACAGAATCACCAGCTACTTTAGCAGCATTTGTGTGAGCAAAAATATCGTTTTTACATTCCTACTCGCTGACAAATTGTATAGATTTGTTCTTCGCGTCCGTTGCCAGTTCCCGGGGATTCTTTCTTCGTTTTTGCCTTTTTGTGTTTCACTGTCTCTTCATTTGCCTCATTATTGTTATTTTTTATTTTGTTTAAGGACTTTTAGAGTGTTCAGGGCTTTCTCGCATGGACTCTTTGTGTTAAAGGGTCCAATGTATCGGTTTTATAATCGAGACACTGTCCTTTTTCGTCATTGCTCTATATGCAGAATTTCCTTGAATGACGAAATAAATATTTTGAATTTGAATTAGAACCGTAACGTGGTCTCAAGACTTTCACATAACGAAGAAATCATGGGTATACTGATACCCTGAGCAAAATACCGCGAAGAAATCGCCCTCCCCCTCTGAGAGAAATTCCTGCGGGATCACACGATCGTTTCTATGATTCATTCTGCGTGGATGACGATATTGAAGTTTTCAGCATACAGCCCACAACAGCAGGGAAGCGACAGCCGACTGCAGATGAGATGTTCTTGTCGTATATTGAATTCCACACATTACTATGAGAAACTTATTACATCATGTCCACTTGTGCATTGTTTTCGTAAACATGGGCTATTTTTTCGCACAAAATAATCAGACAAATATAAGTATACGCACTATTAAAAGACAACTGATCGAACCAAAGATTTGTACTGAAAACCATACAATAACAAAAAGTTTGTCAAATTCAGATAATCGATAAGTGTAGTAAACAAAAAACGCTAAGATTTTACGTGGCAGTGGTCGAGAATATAAAAAAATCTGTGTAGTCGCATATTTTTTAATTTTTTATTATTATTACTTTTATTATGCAACTTGTACTTATGCAAGTGATTTTTTTGTATATCAACTTCTTTTGAGGAGTCCTACAGTTTAAATGGTTTTATTTTAATAAAATTTTGTATAAGTACTTAATGAAGCATAATAAGTAAATGATAAAAATTTCAAAATGATTGCACTGCTTTAAAGCCCTTTGACCTTTAATAATGTGTGGATGCACCCTGATGTGCTACGCATTCTCCAACGCGCCTAGGCATGCTTCTGATCAGGTGGTCAATGTCCTCCTGTGGTATCTCATTCCGGGCAACCACCAACTCCTCTCGAAGTGCTTCTAGAGTCTGAGGAGGACGTTGCAAATTGAGCAATCTCCTACCCATCATATCCCACACGTGCTCAATTGGGGATAAGTCGGGAGATCTTGGTGGCCATGGTAACAATGTGACATCATTGTGTTGAAAGAAGTCTATTGTGACTCTTGCAACATGTGGTGGGGCATTATCTTGTTGGAAAGTTGGATCTGCCAGGATGTCAAGATCGGGTAAAAGATGGGGTTCTAGAAGATGAAGATTAAAGGTGACCTGGAACCATAAGCTATAGCACCCCAAACCATAACTCCAACAGTGTGATGAACATGTCTTTCAACAAAAAACTGTGGATTCCTCCTTTCACCACGTCGCCTTCTTACCCTGGCACGACCATCGTGCATGCCTAAACAAAAGCGAGACTCGTCACTAAAGACAATACTGTTCCATTCCTGATCCCAGAGTGACCGTTGTCTGCACCACTCAAGGCGATTACGTCGGTGTTCTCGAGTTAAAGGGAGGACCCAGTGTGGCCGGTATGAAAACAAGCCAAAACTTCTCATTCGTCGGTAAACACTTCGCATGCCAATAGGTCTTCCGTGTTCTGCAAACCATTCATTTGTAATGGACCTGGTAGTTTAGAAACGGTCCCTTAAGGCCAATAATCTTAGGCGGCGATCTTCACAGTCTGTTGTTCTACGGCGGCGTCCAGTGCCCCTTGCTCTTTGCGTACGGCCTTCTCGAAGCCATGCCTGACAACACCCAACCACAGTGTCTACACTTCCTTGCACTCTAACTGCAATTGCCCTAAAAGAAAGTCCAGCTTCCCGAAGTCCCACTATACGGCCCCTATCAAACTCACTAAGTTGACGAAATCTAGGCATCGTAACCGATCGTAAAGGATGTCAAGAACCAAAATCCGCCAACGTTGATTCTTTACTGCAGCTGAAATATTCATTTTTAGAGCGTTAGTGAATTAAAAAAAAGGAGTATAAAAACCGGAATGTCCAACTGATAAGGCTGAAAATTTTTTCACTTGTTATTTACAGTAAGATAAATACATTCACCAACTTTTATTAAAATAAAACCATTTAAACTGGCTGTTCGGATTTATATGTCACTTAGTATATATTAAGATATTAAGTTTTCGCAGAAGTAGCAAGTATCAATAATTTCGTCCTTGATTTCAAATCTGCCACAGTATCAAGTTATAAATACATATGTAAATGTAATCAATATGATGTAAAACAAACCGCATGTACAAGCGCTAACTATGGAAATTGTATGCACAAACGAAATATTAAACCTGCATCAGGTTTTATCAATGACTTTTAATATCCGTGTATTAATGTAAAACCTCACATATCTCAACGATTCTTTTGGAAAGGTTGAATTTATTTTTGGTGTAGCATACTTTTTATTAGTCGTCACTCGTTGGGTTGCCGATTCCGAATAACATCATCAGGAAATGTTCTTTGGAGTAAAGAAGTGCAATAGTTCCTGCCTCTTTCAACACCATAAGCCTTGATCTACTTCTAGTCAAGTTTACTTATCTTGGATTCGATAAATCGGCACTTCCTAGCGTCATATCTTAAAGACAAACAGCAACAGGTGGTTCTGTATTTCAAATTTACGGAATGTTTCTTCAGGGGTACCGCAAGGTTCAGTTCCAGGGCCCCTCTTGTTCTTAATATATACATTCGATTTTGTAGTCGAAATTAAAAACTCGAGTGTAAATTGTAATGCCGGTGATACTCGTTTATTGTTAAGATTTCCCATTCAAGCTTTTAAAAGGGCTGCGCCTAAAATTGATATGGATCTAGAGAGTATTAGTAGTTATTCTGCTATTAATAACATGAAACTCAATCTTCAAAAATCAAACGTTGCTCTTTTTTGCAAGAACGAAAAACGGCGACATCTGAAAGCAAGCCTGGAGCTGAAAATATACAGCACAGACTTTTAATTGAATATGAAAAAAATTCGTTTTTCGTTTTCGAAAGCATGTCAACAGTATGATGAAAACACGCTATTTTAGGCTTAAACTATCAAATACCAACAGGCACTACTTAATTCAAACCTTTTTTATATTTCCAAGTATCTCCGCCATTTGCATCATACTTTTTAATGTTATGTTGTGCTGTCAATGAAGCAAAACTATTATTACCAATCTGGAGTTTCGTTAATCTCAGGGAAAGACTAAATCAGACTCATATTTACCCGAGGAACAAGTTTTGTTAGACAATGTAAAATACGCTACAATTTTTATTACCTTCTTCAATACGTTTAGCAATCGATTATTTTTCTAAAATAAAGACAAAAAATCTGTTCGGTCCTACTAACTAATCTACCAGTACTCACTGTAACTCACTCCAAGATTGACGTCTCGTCATTGTCTACGACATAATGAACGTGGAACAGCGATAATATCACCACCATTAACAAAATCAGCAAACAAAGAGTACAAAGGATAAAGCTTGTAAAATTATCGAGATGTTTACTTTTCCAGTATATTAACAATTATCAATATTAAGGTTGACAATGGGTCATATGCACCTATCGTATTACCAGCGTAGTAACCTAATTTGATATAGACATTATCATCATCAATTTATGTATTAATAATGTATGCTAGTTATAAAATTAAATACGCATACAAAACAAATGCATCCATAACTAGTCAACAGAAGCTGTTAGATAAAAAATGCTAATAAGATGAAAACCGATTGAGGTACAGATAATTACGAAATTCGTAGTTTTTATCACTATTATGTGGTGAATGAATGAAGAAATTACGAAATTAGAGAAGAAAAACTGCGAATTTCAGAATCATCCGTACCTCAATCGTTTCAAGTATGTTTCAACATTTTTAAAATTTCCTCTCCTGACAATAAAAACTCGATAAAACCCGGGTCGAGCCTATTTATCCTCTGTTCAGCGCGCGCGGCCCTGTTTATGAGAGAAAATGATACAAGTACGACACTGGAATCGATCAATTCGATTTTTGATAACTAACAAAGTAAACAAATATTCACATGCACCGGAATATTTCGTGCAACATAATCACACATATTTCTGTTCTTAATAACTAAATCTTTTTGTGTCAAAATCCTCAACATTAACATTTTCACAAATATCACCATTTCTAATAAAAAAATTGCCTAAATACCTTTGGATTAGTTCCGAGAACTGCATTCTATTGGCACTCATACCACTAACTAAAGAAACTTTTTCTTCCTGATTCCCGTCGAGAAGTCAACACACAACCATTTTCGTTAATAGATTCTGGACGACGCTATCGATGAATGTCGATGCAGCGTTAGGAATTCCGTCGTGTCAAATACACTAAATAACTGTGTTCGGTAGCATTATTTGGTTTGCTTGCGCTCCTCAAGTGGTTAAGTGCTGTTAAAGACACGAGAAAGCATTTCACACGGGCGGAGTTTTTGGCGGGACGAAGGGTACTGGTCCAGTAAGGACCTGCCTTTTTTTAACACTCTCAAGGCGCGTTTTGCGTTGTGGCAACAGAAACTCGCGCAGGCCACAAAATTTGGCATTCCGGACATGCCGACTGGGAGGGGCTTAGAGACTTCCACGTTGCCTTGGAGAGATGTTTGTTTCGAACACGCGGATGCGTCGGCTGTCTTAACATTGGTAACTGAAATTATACACGTTGGATGGAGGAATACATCCCCCATTCAGTGAAAGTGCACAAACTAGGGTTCAACGGCTGGTTCTACAAATCGTGTGACACTGGTCGCCAAGGCACAGAACCTTTTTACAAAACTCCATTGCAGAGAACAGACAAGCCGATGTCGAGTCCACAAACAAATATAACGAAGCGCTATGCCAAAGACCAGGACGATATATAAGTTAGGCACAGGGTAATGTCGCAGCGCATTGGAAGTCGGCACTGTTCCTCTTACATTTAAACGACCTCCCTTCCTGTACGATCAACCCAATCCCCAAGTTTCAACCCCTACAAAAATGTGGAATATGTTTATCGACAATGACAGCTAAGTAATCTCAATTGTGTAGCAAGGCACGACCTTCCTAGCTTTGACATGTACTTATAAACTTACATCATCAATTACACAAAGCTGAAAAATTCTCGTTTTAACCTATTCCTACAACAAATGCATGATAAACCAGATAGAAACTTACATAATGTGCTGGACGACGTACAAGAACACAACGTACTCCATCCACAAAGTAGCGAGGCACATGGCATTTCAGCTGCGGTCCAAACGAAAGCTCGAATCCGAACCACAGACAGAATCGCTTTTTATTCTCGTCCGAACGTGAAAAGAAGACTGTAGAGAGAAATCGCTCCGACTTGACAACAATCACGTTCTTTAAGGTATTCGGTTACGCCACTACGGTTTTGGAACACGCACGGCGAGGAAGCCCGTCAAAGTATCCAGAAAAGGTAACTTGCACCTTTATCGGTAGGTCAGTTGTTTCAGTGCTGTTTTTTTCAGTTTCGGTACATTCGCGAACGGCTGAGCTTCTGTATTTGTTTATTAGGAAATACGTATTAAAATGTATGCATGATTGTTAAATTGAACAGGTTTTACAATTAGGTTTGGGACTAATTAACAAACGTCGCACAACGATATTTGCAAACTAAAAGCTACTTTGTAAGGTGTTCAACTACTTATTTGTGTAATAATACTTTGAAGATTATTCTCACTGACCTTTTAGTTTCGTCCGTATTCAATTACTGCGATGTCATGTATGGACCCTGTTTAACAAATGGATTGCGGACGAATTCAGAAAATCGAAAAGTCGTGTCAAAGGTTCAGATTCGGAATGCGCAACTTTGACTGGGTATCAAACAAGCTAGAGGAAGTTACTTGGTTCAATATGGCTTCCAGAAGAAAACTTCATTCAGCAACATTATTCCATAAAATTGTCTCTACCAAAACACCTCTATATTTATGGAATACGGTAACATTTAGTCCTGATATCAAGAATTTAAATATTCTCAGTAACTTCCGTATCTCTTCCCCTCTACATCCAACTTATATATTTGAGAGATAATTTACATATAATAGTTATGGAATATACAACACTATTTCCTTCCATTTTAAGAACCTATCTTCCAAATCACTCAAAGTCAACTACAGAAAGCATCTAAATGAACTAACGTAGGCATATACTAATTAGCATTACAACAAACCTTCAACAATGGATCAGAAGCAATATCCCTCCGTCACTGTTTTTCTGTTTTTGTTTACATCATTCAATCTCAACGATTTATATTCTTTTCTCAAACTTCGCTCATGATGCACTTACATATATGTATACAGCGAGAAAAACTGCGATTGATAGTTTTCCTCAACTATCCAATGGTGACCTTGCAGTTGACCTTAACCACGTTATTCAAGGTCGCTTGAAGATTAAGTGATCTTTTTGACCCCGTATATGAAAATAGGGGAAAACTTTACGTTCAAATATGGTCTTATCCAATTTTGAATTCTAACCTTAGAAGAACATGTGGTCAAGGTCAAACCCAGCTAATGGCGATATTCAAGGTCACTTGAAGATTAAGTGATCTTTTTGACCCCGTATATGAAAAGAGTGGAAAACTTTACGTTCAAATACGGTCTTATCCAATTTTGAATTCTAACCTTAGAAGAACATGTGGTCAAGGTCAAACCCAGCTAATGGCGATATTCAAGGTCACTTGAAGATTAAGTGATCTTTTTGACCCCGTATATGAAAAGAGGGGAAAACTTTACGTTCAAATACGGTCTTATCCAATTTTAAATCTAACCTTAGAAGAACATGTGGTCAAGGTCAAACCCAGCTAATGGCGATATTCAAGGTCACTTGAAGATTAAGTGATCTTTTTGACCCCGTATATGAAAAGAGTGGAAAACTTTACGTTCAAATACGGTCTTATCCAATTTTAAATTCTAACCTTAGAAGAACATGTGGTCAAGGTCAAACCCAGCTAATGGCGATATTCAAGGTCACTTGAAGATTAAGTGATCTTTTTGACCCCGTATATGAAAAGAGTGGAAAACTTTACGTTCAAATACGGTCTTATCCAATTTTAAAATCTCACCTTAGATCATGGTCAAGGTCAAACCCAGCTAATGGCGATATAACTTGAGAGCCAATAGTCGTATAGATACACTACAGAGTCATTATTTTCATGATATCCAATGGTGATCTTGGGTTTGACCTTGGCCATGACCTTCAAAGTCCTTTTTTTTCAATGAGACCCTATACTTTTGACCTCGGAAATGCAGAAAACGGAAAATTTCGGGCTTGACGAGGTTCGCCTGAGTTTCTTGATAATTCAGAAAACTGTGTAATCCCTAGATAAACTGGCTTCGCTGTTCTTTCAAGATTGTTCCCTGACTAAAAAAATGGGTTTGATCTTCACATGACCTTGAAGGTCATCACGGTTAATGTCAGATCCAAGGTCAACATTATATATCTATCCAGGGAAAAATCATGAAAATAATGCCTCGGTACTTTCCCTACACGACTACTGGCTTTCAACTTATATCACCGTACCCGAAACTTTTCTTTTCCGGAACTGTATATAAATACAGGTATACGTATTTTCATAGCATCACGTTATTTTTTTCTCCATTGGGTCAGCACTTGTATCAGTTTTTCTGTATGTTGGCTATTTTTGCAATTAGATTTATTGTTTAAATGGGTTACTGTAAAGCCTATTTGTAATTGTGATTAAATTCGGTTATTATTATTTTTAGCGTTAAATAACAATATTATACGTTATCTACATACGTATGGTGCTGGTACATTTTTTAGTAACCCTTCCTTTATTCTGCCCATATTTTTGTGATATCTCTTTTATTGATGTTGTGATAAGTCAGTATTTCATGCAATATTCTACTTTCGCGAAGAAGAAAATAAACATTTTTGAACATAGAACAAACTTTATTTCTGACTTGATCTTGTTAGTCAAGATACAACCCTGGAATCAGGTGCCAGGTTGTTGCGTCTCCAAGCGGTGATAACCTCCAAATCTCTTGTAAGAAGGCAAGTTGCCGCTAGTCTTCCTCTCCATTTCGCCGTCAGAAATTGACTCATCACTATGCATTCCTGCATGTAGAGTGCTGTCATCAGCAGTGATGTGGATCGGATTGATCGTACAGGAAGAGAGGTTGTTGATATGTAATGAAAAGTATGAATCGCCCTTTGGACAGACTTCGCCATGTATTTGTTACAATAAAGTCCATTGAATTGAGTTAACAGAAACAATGTCCGAGCCCTGGGGAACACCCGCGTTGACATTGTGGGCTGAAGAGCAGAACCCGTATGAGAGAAAATCGTCCACAAATCTGCAAAGCTTCTCTGGGAGGCCATGCACTTTGTTCCGGTGGATATACATAAAATGTCTTTTATTGGGAGGTGAACGATCTCCTTTAGTCCAATGATACATCAACGACAACGGGAATTGTTTGATTTCATTGTGTTGTCGCTTCGTTGTTCGAATTTGCAATGTCAACATTCTTCAATAGTGACGTAAAGCGTTACCGTTATCCACGGTCATCGTTTGTGTTATTTTTCTGCCTATAGGGTGACTTTGAAGTTGAGTCATTAATTTTCAGATAATGATTGTAGAAGGAAGATAAACCAAAATATGTGTAAAAATAAAAAAAAAATAAAAAAAATTTTTACCTTGTTTTATAAAGTATCCTCCCGACAAGTATATCAGTGCGGACCTGTATTTGATCGTGAGGTGCCCTGTGAGGTCTTAAGTCACCTGATTCACGAGCCCGTTGTACTACATTAACAAAGGCACGAGGGGTTGGTTGCACTCGATTGGGAAACCGATCCGCATAAACATGTGCCATTTTTTATTTCGTTTGAGCCACGCAACAGACACCACTATTCACTCACGCGTTACCGACTGACACTGACTGTATACAACTGAATGAAATAATTGTAAAAACATCGTTCCAAATTCTTTCGCTTTTTTGTTTCCGATGCGATGAACCGATAAGGCGGGTTATATCCGTTGTTGCCAAACACGAGCACATAATATTATTATTGAGACAGGGCGGTACTCAAACTTCCAAAGGGCTATAACTTTGTTACTTTAATTTTACCAGAAAAATGGTAAAGGAAAAAAACATTTCTTTTGATCAGATCTACTCACTGTTAAAATAAATGACTCAACTTCGAAGTCACCCTGTATTTACAATTGAACAGCATACTGAAAAATCCTGATATTGATACTCCATTACAGAATTTTCTGACGAATAGCACTGCTTCAATCTATAAATATTTTATGCAAGTTCAACCTTTACTGCTCAGCAACAGATAGTACCAATCAAGCGATAATTTATTTAAACCTGCTGACTATGATTCTCTGAAGTGCATTGTTTTCTGAGACGTATCAATAAATGTTCATCATGGGCGCCCATCGAGGAGTGAAACATACCTATTAGGGTACCCGTTTCATAAGCAACGAGTGGTGTGTATTTTTTGGTTGTTAAAACGTTCGCGAATATTTCCGTCCTAGATCCTAAACAGAATCTCATCGATGTCAACTTTCAGATGTCAGGTGATCAAAACATTACACCCAATAACACCGCGGCACTGTAATTAGATTCAGGACGCGCACTACTTGATCTGTGATGCGACGTGTATACCCGCCTGCGAATTGGCATGGAATGTACAAGGTATGTCAGAAAGTAAATAGGTCTGTTGAAATATATCCGATACAAGTAGCGCCATCTATTATCGGATTAGCGTTACATAGGAACATCTTTCATTGATGCCCTGTCAAAATTTCATGACAATCGAACCGCTTCATGCGGAGTTATCGCGCTCGAAGTGACAGTAGATACCTTTTCAGCATCGGTCGACAAATGAGCACCTATTCGAGTTGCAAGAATGATTATACAACATTGTATACTGTGAGAACATTGGATAAACCCTCTTAGAACAGCTATACGAGCACCCCTAATAGGACACTTCAGTCATTTAAGAGGTTGTATAAGGGCTGCAGGTAACAGTTATAAAACAAAAGTGTAAGCCCCTTGCAGCCGCTATAGGACATTTGCATCAGTGGAAGATTCAGTTTTTGTCAACTATACAACTATTCTGTTACGTGATTGTCCTTAGGTTCTTAGAACATTTTGGTGTTTCCTGCAGGTGTTATACAACAACTTGACAGATGTCTGAAATGAAATACCGACAGAGTCGAATGATTTACCCAGAATTTGTACCAGCACTATATCTTCTGTTTGAACAGTTGATAAAACCTTTTGAACCAATATGCATGCGTTGTTTGTCTTAAAACATTGGTTATGGCATTTTAACAAAAATATGACTGCAGAAAGTTAGGTTATGGTGAAATTGTTGACCAACATATTTAGCATAATATGTACAGCCTTTAACAGTTACTAAACAACAGTTGTATAAGTGCTTCCATTGGAAGCAATTTGTTGGCTAAGGTAGTAAATTGCACAGCAAAACTACAAGGCTCGGGTTTGTTTTATAAACGTTACCATGGATGCCACGACACAAACATTTTGACTAACTTGCAAATATGCCGTATAAAATAGTTGCATAAACGTTTATGCAACAGTTAAAAATTTGCGCTATAACGTGTTGTATAACTATGCTATAAGAATATTTTAAGCACCTCATTTGTGAGTTTCTTAGAAAACCTTCCTTGAGACACATAGAAATGGCACTAAAGACTCAATCCATCGCATTTTGACCAAGAATTCAGGCATGAGAAAGGTGTGTTTATGGTTTGTTTCGCACAAGCTCATGGATGACCAAAAATTTCGCGTTTGCTGTCGGCCAGAATATCGCGAAGAAGGAAGCTGGCGCTTGTTGCACGAGAACGCACCATCTAATCGATCGACGCTTGTGTCCGATTTTTTGACAAAAAATGGCATTTTAACCATCGACCACTTCCCAAATTCTCCTGATTTGGCACCGACATCGTGTTGACTAACAATAACCAGAATCGTGAACCTTTCGAAGCTTCCGTGTGCTACCGATTAGAACTCACGTGTAAAACGTGTTCGAGATATTTCATAATATATGCTTACATTTTGTATTTCTAATATTACCAACTCTACCTTCGCTAGCACGTCACAACTCGCCTAAACCGACGGGCCTTGTAAATGTTTCACTCCCGAGACCGATAACCCGAAACCCGAAAGTCCGTCTCGATCTTCACCGTAATCTGATAACCGCTTTGACGATTCGCGTTGCCAATCGAGAACCTTGACGCCGCCGGTTTAAAATCCTAATGACCACTGCCACCGGCTGGCGAACTATTTAACATTTAACTCTCATTGCCCTGGCCATAGTTTATACAATTATTGTTATTAACAATGACGGCGTCGATCGAGTTATCGAAAGCGTGGGCGCGATACGCGTATCGAAGAATGCCGGGCGAGCGGATTTTACAATGGGCGATTGTATTTCCAAACTGTTAGTACGGGATTTATAGGTATATTTTGACTCGCCAGGGTCAGTCAGGAAGAACGCGTGTTTTTTTAAATGAGTAGTACAATCAAAATAAGTAAGGGTAAAAATATTTTGGCGCCGTTGAGGCGAAATGCAGGAACCAAGCCTCTCCCGAAATGAGCCCATTGCGTCGACCAGCTTCCCTACAGGAATTTGAGTTACTTTTCTTATTTCCTCCTGGCTTTGGTAAGCTTTTGATTTCAGGTAGCCCCATGGAAAAAACCACACGTTGACAGGTCCGGGGAATATCGCCGTGACGTGAAATGAGGCGTCCTGGGAATGTTTGCCGAAGAAGTTCCTTCGAAGCGCGAGCTGTGCGAGATGTTTCCCCGTCTTGTTGGAAACACACTGTTCTGAGACGGACTCGTCGACGACATAGTAGTCGTTTCTCCATCATTCTTAAAAAAAATAAGAGCCAATAATCATCGTTGGGCCTACTGCACGCAAACTGTAGCTTTCGGGGGTTCACTGGACACCAATGTCGACAATTTTGTTTAATGACGTATCCATGTAAGTGAAAACTCATAAATAAAGACCGGATTTATGTGTATTTACATGTTTTTACATATAACATAATATTTTAGGTTTTTTTTACATATAATCCATATACAAAGACATACGCTTTAAAAAACATAAACTGGCATTTTGTTTTTTTTTATTCAGCCTAAACACATTTGTTATTACTCAATGTTATGTAAATCTGGCAACGGTGCGCAAATTATAAAGACTACAAGGCATATCGGTGATTCCCCCAAAGCATATCGGTGATTCCCCGATTAATAACTTCGTGCCGTGCACCTGTCGCAATCTTTATTTAGAAAACTTGAGTAGTAAACAAACACGTATTATTCTTCGCTGCCGTTTACTATTTAAAAAGATCGCCATGCCGAAAGTATCAAGCTCTAAAGCTGATTTACTTAAGAAATGGATAAAGAATGCTAAACATTTATCCACTGACGGAACAGTTGTATACTGTAACGCCTGTTCAAAGCAAGTGAGTATATGTATTAATACAGGGTGCGGCAGAGAGGACGGACGTTTTTGGGATGGGTAGTACGCTCCGCCTCCGTTTACGAGAGAGGTGGGGAGGGTGCCGTTTGACTCGTGAGATCCTAGCATTATTTTACCAGTTGTCGTTATGGAGCCTTGGACGATGGAACACCGCGTGTTCGCCTATGAAATAATGAGTCACTCATCGTCGTACAGCGTGAGTTTCGTCGCCACTTCAACATTCATCGGAATAGAGCTGTTCCCTCTCGAAACGCCATCCTTCGTTGGGTTGAACCACTTCGCAGGCGTGGTGAACTGATCAACAGAAGACCAAGAGGAGCGCCGCGAACAGTTCGAACTCCTGAAAATGTTGAACGCGTTCGACAGGTCTTTCTTCGCTGTCCGACTCGATTTGCCGGGAAACATGACGCTGCACTTCGCCTTAGTGATCGTTCGGTAAGACGAATTTTGCATATGGATCTCCGCTTTCACCCCTACAAAGTGGCCATTGTGCAACAGTTACAGCCCGGAGATTATGCACAACGAATGAACTTCGCACGTGAGATGGAAGCACTGATCGATCAAAATGAGAACCTCGCCTCAAGGCTAGAGTATACGCGAACAAGCCCCGAACTCTGGACGAATTGAAGTGCGAAATTCGCATGGAAGTCGCCCAAGTTGAGAGAGTCTACGCGAACTTCCAAGAACGCCTCCAGCACTGCATCAACGATTTCGGCCACCACATGCCTGATGTGGTTTTCCACACTTGACTGTCTCAAATGTGAACCTGATTCCCTCAATAAATTTGTTTTCGAATAAAAATTGACTATTTTATGATTTTTTTAAAACCGCCTATCCTCTCTGCCGCACCCTGTATAAATTCGTATTCGTATACTCTTCACTCCGTATACAAGACAATACAAGTAATCTATGAGGGCCACAGCACGTGTCTGGCTACTGACGTCACGTTTTCTAGCCTCGCGTCGATCCTTGATTTTAAAATGCTTTGCGTCGACGTAAATATTGATATTTTGCACTCAAATTTCTTTGACCGTTTTTTAATAACAAAATCCCTCGATTTTAATCAAAATGAGAGAAATACGAAAAATGTCGAACCTTCCTATTTTACGTATCTAATCTAACTGATAAGAAATTAAATAAAGTTGAAGCTGTAGCAACGTGGACTGTAAATAAAAACAAAATAAACATTCCCTAATGTGATTTTTGTGCATATCCCTCGTAACCATAATAGTGAGTGGGCGTTATTTGAAGCACCTATTGAAGAGAAATGCAGTTACGACCTCAGCGGCACAATAGGTGATTATGCGATATTTTTCCAATACTATCATTACTGCACATTATGCAGGAAGATGAAAGCATAATCTGATACGCTGTTGTTTCAATTGACGTTTATTTTGTATGGATGGCTGTTTCAGAACCTTGAAACTTCAGATTCAAACAAATTTCGTCACGTTATATTGTATACCGATCACTCCTTTGGAAATAATAATAATGCTTTATTGCCCAACAGAAATTGATTTCGTTTAAGCCGCGTACAGACCGAAATTCCGACGCAAGCCAAGGCACATGTGGTTACAGACTTGGAGGTGTTCGAATCCGTGCGTACGGCGCGAGCCAACGGTTAAAATACTGTAAAAATAAGCAATTACATAATGTTATTCATCTGAGCATATCGTTCAGCTGATTTATTCAACAAAAAGTTTAGAACCATTACCATTATAAAAAACAAATGTTGACCTATTTTCAAGATATGATTCATAGAAATTAACCATTAAATTATCAAACCCAAAATTAGATATTTTGCTCAGTAAAGTACCATGGTCTATCCTGTCAAAAGCTTTGGAAAAATCTATACAGGGTGTCCGCAAAGTTGGGGTTTTCCTTTACACGACGTGTAGATCTTGAAAACAGAAGCAATTTTTCTTAGTACCATATACACCAATGTCTTAAGGGAACCGAGATAAAGGGCTCTGCAACATCAAACATATCTGAATACCGTCCTGTAGCCGCGACCCGCCGCGACATCCCAGACTGGTACCGGCTACTAGCTGAACCCGACGACAGAACTGGGTCGGGGGTCGGGGTCCGTGTGTCAGGTCAGTATGCAACCTTCAACCGATGGTTACGGTCATGCATGTAGAGGTAATCGCGTAGACGAGAAGCCCTTCAACCTGACGATTTTCCAGCAAGAGTGCGGTTTTGTGAGTGGTTGTTGCATCAACATGACAATAATCCGGACTTTTTGAAGTGCATATTGGTGACAGACGAATCTACGTTCACGCGTATTGGGGTGAATAACTTTCGCAACACTCATGTTTGGTCAGTAGAAAATCCGCACGCTGTCCGTCGGGCACATTTTCAACAAACATTTTCGGTGAATGTTTGGGCTGGCATGGTGAACGGTATGCTCATTGGACCATTTATTCTCCCAAATCGATTGAACGGGATGCAATACCTATTCTTTTTACGCAACATTTTGCCTTCCTTGTTAGAAGATGTGCCATTAAGTGTAAGACAATCAATGTGGTTTCTGCATGATGATCATATTTGTTACCTCTGTTCGTGGTCTACTGGTCTGCACCACCGCCGGCGTCTGCTCGGTAGCGCATCAGGTCATTTCATTTCTGTTGGAGCGGTATGATTTCGGGCAGAGACGTACTTAGCCCTTCTCGTCAACTGGAGAGTGAGTACTTTTTCCTTTATTTTTTTTTTACTTGGTCGTCCTCGTTTCACTACACATTACCTTTGTTATTTCAAGCGTAGTTGTTTCTGAAAAGGAAAACCCCAACTTTGCGGACACCCTGTATAGAAAAATCAATTTGAAAATAAGATTACAAATTCTTGATGGTGAGTTGGTACACAAAGAAAGAGTCAAATTTATTCCCTTCCTACACAGTTCAAATTTTTGAAGCTACTTCGGGGTCAGGGCATCCGCGTCAGCGAAACAAACACCTCTCCAAAGAAGCGTGGAGAAGAAGTATCTGAGTATGTCCGAAATGCCAAATTTTGCGGCCTGGGCGAGTTTCTGCTGCCAAAGCGGGTGTTCACCAAAACCTAGCCTCCACACCACCGAGGCCAGTTTTGGCTTAGGAAGAAAAAGCAGGTAATTGAGAAAAAGTACCTCTCAAGGTGGTTTATAACACTATAGATACCATATTCTCAAACTACAGCACTACAAAATCAGCTGGCTTTTAAAACGCAACTAAAAACACTACTAATTCCAAAAATTCAAAATACATACCAAATAGTATCTGTCAATTTATGATTCCAAAGACTCTTAAACTGTATATAGAAGGAGACATCCGATAACCAAACGGGCAGCATTTTCAAGCAAATTCAACATAAATTTTGACTTACTTTTCAAAGTTCTGACGGCCGACTTCCTCTAACTTAACAACGTCACCGGACGATATGCTGTCCATGACTGTTCGGTTGACAGCATCTGATTGTTATTAGAAGAAGATCGATAACAATGGTAGAAATACAAAAAATATAAATGGAACAAGCCGAAAAACGTTCATTGAAAATCGCTGGAGGAGAACTTGACGCGTACAAAAAGTGACATCGTTTCGCCGCGACCATAAAGAATCGCGTTCTACCGGTTACTGATGCAACCTTCGGAAGGAAAATTTAAATTCGTGAGATTTTGTTTGTTAGAGCACACTCATAGGCGTAGAACAACAATGCTTCGACGAGGAAGGACAGGAATGATTTTGAATTAGACTATGAATGAATCCTAAAGAATATTTAGAGCATGAATATGATGATTCAGCCGCATTTAGTTTTTGGATAAGACCATACTTTAGCGCATATCGCAAATACTTCACTTCTTACTTTAAAATGAAAGATTAGTATGTAACTTTTACGAAAATATCATTTTTTCTTTAAGGAACCATCTGCTTGCTATTTTATAGAACTTCGAAGTTGCATTTTTGGTGGTAATACTCTAGTATAGAATACTGTTTTATATGCTGTCTTTTTTTGCTTTTTGTTCAAAAGGGTGCTCTAAATTATGAGAATATAACATACACTGTATAGTACTAAGGAAAATAGACGTGAAACTGTAAAAAATCGTTGTTTTTTGCAAAAAAAGGTTCTAAACCAGACGTGTTATTACACATTAGCTTATTAACCTAAATAACAGATCAAAATACATACGTAAATGATGGTATTTGCTTGGTAAACTGTGTGGAGGTGTTGTTTTGTGATTTTTCAATGTTTTCATGAAATTCCTTAACCATTTTATAAGAATCGAAGAAGAATTGCAAGCGGCGACTAAGAATAAATCCAATCTACTAAATTTTTTTTCTAAGGTGAGTGACAAAATCATTTTAGGTACCTATGAGTACTAGAAATATTAGAAATCGCCAAAAAGTTTCTCTTTACTGATTAGAAAATATTATGGCCTATCTCAAAGTATATAGGTAATATTCATTATATTATAGATTTATTTCTTATGATTGATTCCGTCAATTGGTCACAAAGTACAGGATGTTAGTTTTATACATACTATATACAGAAAACTAACACCCTGTATTTTGTGAGCGGAACGAATTGCTCGTTTAAAAATATTAGATTTAAAGCCACAGGGTTTTGTATTTACCATATATATTGCTATACTTTGTATTTATAAAACTTAATACGAAAATCATGGGGGGAGGGGGTAAGAGATTTGCTTACTTTTGCTGACAAGGGGGATGGGGGGGTCAATAAGTGTAATAAATCTGCTTACGTAATACTTGCGCTAAAGTATAGTTCAGCCAATTTTTGTATTGAACTTATTGCAAATTAGCTAGTCATGCTTGATTTTTTTAAGATATAATTCATTTAGACTTAGGTACCTTATTGCCCCAAGCCCTTCATTTGTGGTCGGTCCTTTGGTAACTTTAGGTTTACACGCTAGCAATATACGCGCTTTTTCTGTCGATGTGAAAAAGTATTACTAAAGCTTTCGATTTCTTTTGTTTCCTAGGTTAGTTACAACATCGTAGTGTGCTTCAGAAACGCTACTGGCTCTTAGCAAGAAATGACGTAATGGAACCCGAAGGCGACAGATCTGATATTTACATCTTGAATATATTTTCTTGTTACATATACGCAATAGCTACCGAGATACGATTCGCATTGATAAATGTAGTTTAATTGTTCGATTCGTATTCGTATCTTCGTGCAATTATACAAATACGGTAGATACTAGAAAAATAGGTAGAGTAGATGTATGTTAAGAATGCCTTTAAGACGGCACAATCGCAAAAAAGTGAAAAAAAAGCAAAGAAATATTTCAAGTACAGTTTAAAGTAGTCTGTGATAGATTCAAAATCACAAATGTGTGCTCGACGTGTGGGCTTTTGAATGAATGAATGAATTCATCAGATTGCTAAACACAATAAATAATAGTTTAAAAAAACTAAAAAAACACGCTTTTATAGCTAACCGAAATATAAAAGTAGAAAATAATTTTTAATTACAAAGAGTTTATATTACAGAAGTAGATGGTCGAACAATCAAGGCCAAGCTAATAACAGCGTGTTAAAAAGAAATCACGAAGGATCTTGAAAAACGGTCTTGATGCGCTCGCGAAGCCTCAGTAGCATTTCGCAGAGACTCACCGCAAATTGAAATAATATGGACAACTCCGATATTGCTTTATGACTGTGCCATTATTGTTTAGTTTTTAGAACCACATCTCAGTTCGCGTTTGATAGCCCAATTTCCACCATGACCGCTAGCGGCTGACGATTCTGGTGGTATAATTGACGTGGAACAACTAAACGTGCTGTTTTCGACTGTCCCACCAATGGACAACTGTTTCGTGATTTTAGGCAAAGAGTAGTTAGAGATCGGCTTCCAGGACAACAAACGAAAGCATAGAGTATTTCGAGTTTTATTAACATAAAAAGCATCCTAAGGTACAATAGCTACAATGTTAAGTAATTAGATATGAGAAGCGTTTATTTTCTTCAAAATTTCCTAATATGAGACAACACCGATGTATCTAATTAACAAGATTTTGTCCATTATAACAATTCCGATTCTCATTATTTGAACCTAAAATATAACAAATCGGCATGAAAGTTAAACGTATATTTTGTTGAACCTTGAACATAGATTCAGGCGTACCTAACCTTGTAAAACCAAAATTCCTGTCTTTGTCTTGATGACTACATTATCTTTCTACTATAAATAGATTCTTCTTCATCAATGATTCTATGAATAACTATTAAAAATCTTCGTATATCCTTCCACGCTTCTTGCAAATACGTAAAATAACATGTGTTTTTTTCAGTATTTGGAATATTTGCTTAGCATTTTTTGTGTTATATATTTTACATGATAATTTTAGTATAGAATGAATTATTTATATTTAGATCGTTTGCCAATACAATTTAATGAAGTAGATCATATAGACAGAATACATTACCTTTATAAAGTTGTCACTTTTGAAAAATTAACAATAGACAAGTTGAAAGGTTCTAAATACTCGTAACTTAAGACTTAATTATTGAAAATGCGCATGTAGCTTTTCAAACTAAAATTTCTTTAGAGCTCCAAATAAAGGACTTACTTTTTTATTGCATTCAGTTGGTTTCAAACAACATCTTTGTCCTTTGTGCATCAGTGACAAATATTAATTTTTCAACTTTTTATACAGGAAACAATGAAGAACAAGATACAGCATCACATCTTTATAATCTTGTATAAAGTGTTATATGGCTTTTTAATCTTTTTAATAAAAGTATTTTGTATTGGTAAATAGTTTATTTTACAATTTTCATCATTTTCCTATTCCCAATTCTGAATATTTCTTTAACATCCGGATTTTAAAATACATTTTACATATAAAAAAAAGATGCTTGGCATCTGCACTTGCACTAACTGGCATGGCTAAATCCATTAACGATGTTAAGTAGTTATTCAATTTTAATGACACTACATTGAAATTGTCGAAATATATTATCCAGTTTATTACACTTGATTAGTAATTAAATTTGCCCTTGAACCACCCACCACTGCACGGTAGATACACCATAGTTAAATGTCAATTTTTCAAATATATTTCGCTACTGTTGCGTCTTGTTTCACTGTTTTTTTACTTGAAACTTCTAGAGGGATGAAGCACGCTTTTCTTGCATTTTTTTTCCAAAAGACGTATTTTTAGCAGTCATTTCTGCCATTATTTACACCGCCATCTGCCATATGACGACGTTGACGTCTATGCATATGTCATATATGAGAGGCACTTGCTTGCGATGTTGCCGGATTGGGCTCCTCATTTAGGGAAAATGAGAAGTGGAAAATCTATATATGTACATTTATATTAATCAATGAAACACAAAAAGAAAAAACTGAAACAAACAACAATAGCTAAATACAAAGCGGTTCTTAATAAGTATAAAACAAAAAATAACAGTAGTAAGCTAACACACAATAAATTGTGAATAATTATAATATCAAAAAATAAAAACAGTGGTAAAGCAAAAAATACAATTCCATGTAATTATAAAAAACTAAAATAAACAGTAAAATAGAAAGCTATTTTAAATTATAACAAAAACAGTAATAAAATGAAAAAAAATTCCATGTAATTATAGAAAAATGCTTTTTATTTTACTGTTTGTTATTTGTTTTTTATAATTTCATGGAATAGTTTTTCTGTTTTACTACTTTTTATTTTTTATAAGTATTGACAATTTATTGTTTTTTAGCTTACTATCGTTATTTTTTGTTTTATACTTATTAAGAATCGCTTTTTATTTTGCTACTGTTGTTTGTTTCAGTTTTTCGTTTTTGTGTCTCATTAATTAATATATGTATTATACATTTTCCACTTTTCATATTTTTCCCTAGATGCGGAGGCCAATCCGGCAACACCGCAGTCAAGCGCCTCTCAAACATGACATATGCACAAACGTCAACGTCATATGGCCGATGGCGGTGGAAATAATGGTAAAAATAACTGCTAAAAATACAATATTTTGGGAAAAATGTTCTAGACAAGCGTGCTTCATCCACACTATTTTCATTTAAAATGATCTATCGGTCTACCCTCTTTAAGTTTCAAATGAAAATACAGCGAAATTCCAAGTTCTACAAGACGCAACAGTAGATACCTATATTTCAAACAATATTTATTTTAAACAAACCAGATAAACTAACGAAACCAATTACAAATTACGTGCTAAAGGCCCGCGTAGTATCATTTATTGCTTTTAAACATCACTTCATATTTCAGGATATCGTGTCTACAGTCACCGGACTGAACAGCATCTCAAACCTCTCTTATCCCAAGATTAAAAAGACAAAAGACTTTTAAAGTAAAATAAAATCGTCGTTTACCTGGTAGGCGAATCTTCCCTGCTATGCGACACGTAGTACTTGTTCTTCTTATGCTTATGCCGATTCGGTAGAGGTATCCAAAAGAGCCTGGGGCCCTTATGGTCCTTGTTTTTCTTGTGTTTTCCGGCCACGATGAGTGCTTAACACGACACTACCGCACTTACTAAGAAACTACGACAACCTGTGGATCACATAAAATAGTAGGCTGTGAAATGCTGACGGCGCGCTTTCTTTGTAAAATTATAGTGGTGAATGTA